GTTGGGAAACATTTTGTGAACCAAAAAATGTTGTAATTTATAGATCATGCCTGTAAAAACGGTGTGCACCTGTGTAGAATTATGGTCTACTATGATATTAGTACTGCTCTAATAATAGACCTAATCCTAAAATTGTAGATTTGTCATGATATAACTGCCTAATCTATAAGACCTTACGTGGAAGTCACACCATCGACTACACCAATTCACTGTATCGTATCAATTACCAATACATGATGTAGAACAGGGTTAGGTTAGAGAAGGAACAATATATTTAATATGAATGGAAGATATAAGGTAACATTCAGATGGACCACGCCTGCATGGCCGAGCCATGCCATCCGATCAACTCCAGTCTATTCAGTTCATTATTCGCGCCTTCTCCATCGTTAGGTATTTCTTCGCGTTAAATATTGAATATCTATTTTCCGAGTAATCTCGTATTCAGCTTTGAGGATAGTGTGGTTATGGTCCAATGCCACTACACCTGCATATGCAGAAATATATTATTATATTATACACGATTGTGTCGTCTTGGATAGGAAACGGAATATCTTTTGATTTACGCATGCGTCAACTCAGAAGAAATTTTAGGTATTATGTTTTAGAGAGCGTCGAACTCTTCTTTACTATCGTTACAATCACGTAATACTTCAACAACTTCGTAAGTTTCATACATTGAGTGCAGGAGTAAAACTCTTTAGAAGCGTAGAGCTGCGAAGATTTTCTGATGCTTGCTCGACATTTAAATGGGAGTAAGAAAGACTTATTGCTATAAATCTTGTACGTATTTGTATGGTCTGTGGCATTTAAGCATGACAACGTGTTTCCATTGAGGATAACTATCGCGTCCGATAAAGAGTTGTTTTCAAAATAGCCATCCCAATCATATCAATTGACAACGTTTACTGAAATTCACTGTCTGCAAACTTAAAGCGTCGTGTTACTGCTAGGTGTGGATTTTTCTTATGCTTTATATTTGTTGTGTGAATTGGCAAGGAACAATAGACTATCCCACTACTTTTAGTAGAGAACACTATTCCAATAAGTCCTATTATAGTTGTAATTCTGAGACAAAATAGCAAGTTCCAAAATGTCGTTACCGCGCGTGTGCTATGAAATATTGTCACGTATGTAGTTCATATAAGCTTCATCCATTTTCATGATATCGGTAGAAACGCTGCAGTATGATGTCATGTATGTTTAGTTCTAATTCTAACATGTAAGATAGATGCCACGTTTCCGTTACAAGAATAGTTTCCGATTTCGTAATTAAGTCAGTCATTTTAAGTTCTGAAATTTTATTACTTAAAGAGTGAACAATGATAAGCATTAAAGTCCACTGTTCAGTCATTAAATATCTGACTAGATATGTTTTGGATGCCTGGTTTGGATGGCAGTCCATCCAGGTTCATGAAACAGCTAGATGAGAATTTACTTGTTTCCTTTGATGGTGACGGAGCTTGTAGTGAAGTTCATCAACATCATAGATACAGTTACGTTCCGTGAACGTCTTATCACGCTCGGTGATGTGTTATTATCAGATTTATTTGATATGGAAAGCTGAATTGACTCCAGCTCTGTTACAGTGGTAGGTAGTGCTGTCCTTGCCGTAGGGGTGTAAAGATTACTTACGATACCTCCTGTAAATGATGGTAGTCATGCCTCAGTAGATAGCCGAACGGAATAGAGACATAGTTATTGACAGAGTGATATCAACTGTGTTGGGAGAGTAAAGGTAGGTCGTAGGTAGAGATAGTTCGCTCTCAAGACCTACACTCATTCTTTATTGGAATCGATACTAAGTGACTGTCATTTGAATTCTGCAGGTAAGGGGACGTAGTGTTCTTATGTAACCAAAGCTCGAAATCTAGAAGTGTTATGTGACCAAGATTTTATCTTTTACAGTTATTATTTTAATGATATGTCGGCCATCGTTTGGGACTGATACATACGTATTTGGGTAGATTGTTTAGGGACGAAACGTTCCTTTCTCCTAGGTTTTCCGAACTTCGTTTTCACCTTTGTCATTCTTCTATTGACCTTTCTACCATAGGAGTGATAACTATCCACTAGATCCCGATTATTGTCTACGCCCTTGGAAGGTCGGTGTCAGTACTTATTTTGATATCGCTTGAATCTTAATCTTCAGAAAAAGGTTCACGTGCTGTAAGGGATTATCGTTCAGGGGTAAGTAGAGACGCGTCACCAACTCTGGTTCACACGTTGAACATATGAGTGTGTCAGCATCCTTAATAAGACGTGATTCAGTTGTTTGGATGTAACACTTTAGATGTGGTCTCACATAGGTGGACTATAAAACCCGAAACATATCCTCATCTAAATATTCGAATGCTTGGTGGGGCAAACATAACACTCGAAAACACCTGAAAGTTGCAATGTAGCAACCTCCAAAAGTTTTCGAGACATTACTTACTGTTACTTCTAAATCTTTTTTCCTGCACGCGTGGAAGCCATGTACGGTTTATAGTATACTGGTAACTACTGCCGTGTCTCATGTGGATTGCTGTACTGCCTATAGGATTCATTTATAAACCCTAGCTTTGTGACCATTTAACTAATTCGTCTAGTTCAGCCTGGGGGTCAAGACGATTAGCCTAATCATTTATTGTTCTCCAAACTTTGATATAATCTGCAAACTACAGTATTGACAACTTAAGTGGTTTCGATAATTAGCTTACGTAAAGGAGAAAAAATATGCAACCTAATGTGATCCTTAGAATTACAGAACTCTTAATGGGCTTTCATTTAGACAGTATTTCATTCCCTTTTGCTTTCTATCTTCGTCCACAGATGAAGTTCCTTACCTATTATTGCATAGCACCCTTTATTCCATGGCGCGAGAGCTTCTTCAAAAGCTCCGAGTGATAAACTATCAAATATTTTAGTAAATTCTATGATTATCATATTGATAGACAAACTATTATCGTGTGCTGCTGTTGAAACAGCTCTTGCTCATCACAAGGTAATTAAGAATGAATGATTATTCCGAAACCCCTGTCATCAGGGCGTTAACGGACTGAACGATTCTACTTCACTTCATACCTTTGCCCGAATTATTTTTCAAGTAACTTAAGTACTGTGCTGGAAAAACTAACAGGTCCGTTGTTATGCACTACCAGTCTCTCTTACTATCCGAATATAAAGCCAGCACTAGAACCCTTTCAATCTCTAGAGAATCGAGTTTGGGAGAGGGACATGCTGGACGTCATCGTCAGTGATCTTGATATGGTGTCAGCAGAGGATGACAGCAATAGCGAATGCAACCCATCAGAACCCGGTGACTTAGTAGGTTTTTGGCCAGCGAAAAAAACTAAAGAAAAGCCTCTTCAGTCATATGTACTGATATCACAGCTGGGATATCATTGGTATACCTATGAGATGTGTCGTTATCAATATTCGTAGTGTGAACCTCTCTGAAATAGTTTGACGAAGTATCAGCTTTAGTCAGATCTAATTCGGCTACCATGTCTAAATTTCATGCGACTATATTAGAGGATTTGTGTCACTGCTCTGTTCTTTGTTTAATATACGAAAACGATCGTTTTTCGTAAGTACGGCTATCGTACGCCTACAGTTTTTCTCAAGTAGTGAAGCACCTAGCTATACTATTTTTAGATACGCCTTGGAACTCATAGGATTCGTAACTGAATGGTTAATGATCTTTCATTTAGAACAAGTCTCAGAAGTGTTTCCTACGCTTCAGAAGCTCTCGGGTTTCCCTGTCGATTCATGTATGGGAATGTGATAGTTTATTGCAGGATGAACGATAACGTTACTGACTCAAATGAAGCCTTAAGCTTTTTCTATCCGTCTCTAATCTACACATCTACGTCGTTAGCCAAGTCTGTTGAGATATCATAGTCTTTAATTGCCTGAATGTTAGCCCGCTAGTTGTTGGGACGGTGTGAACCAGATACATACTGTATATCCCAGTTCTGTGTAGCTCTTTTTGACAATCTAAACCAATTTAAATCTTTGAGATATATCGGTTCTAATGTAAATGCATTAGTCCAAAGCTTAGTCTTGGTAACCCACATCATATTTCTGTTTTAATTTTGTAAAGATCCTGTGTAGTGAACAAGCAAGAAAACAAATGTGAACACTACTTGACCTTGAGAATTTAATTCTTTCGTCCTAATAATGATGTTTTATTTTAATCTATTTGATACATTATCTCGCGTAGCTTGCAATAAGGAATTTATTTAATAATGCGTTTCACATAGTTTGTATTACTTCTTTGTCGTTGTAAATGTGCATCAACAAGAATACTTATTCTAGCATTTCAGAAATGATAAATTTCACAGTTTTTGCATTGACATTATTTGCATGCAATTCTTTGACTAGCTAAATGTTATTTCCCATGCTTTGACGGTTTCATGCCAAGATCTAGTTGTATGGGCTTCGTCAGTTAGGCTTTCCGAGTTGTCTATAATAACCATCGTATCGATTATTTCTTTTGATGCTTAGTTTGTAAATGCTTTGGCTGACGTCTGTTTCGATTTTTGTTCTTGCAAGCTACCTTAGTCGTAAAAACGGTTAATAAATTGTATCTTATTAAGTTTATTAAAAGGTGTAGTCTCTAACTGTTTGGCATTAACATATGGACTATCAGTATTAAATAAAAATGAAAAATCGAGGTTTATTGGTTTCAGTATAATTCAGTCATTATTGTTGGATTGAGAGACAAGCACTGCTATATATATAATCGAAATGAGTAATTTGAGTCACTTTTATGTTCACATATTGTTCTTGGTCAATAATATTTGTGATTGTCATCATTATAAAGAGGTGTGATATGCTGAACCGTCTTATATTTCTAGTAGATTCTATTGAACGAAAGCATACAGCTTGAGTCTGTTACGCTGTACAATTTTTTCTACACTATTCAAGTAAAAGTTATATCGTGAAATGAAGTAGATCAATTTACGTGCATATTCTAAGCTTGAAAATATTTCTTTATTTTAGAAATTCGAGGCATGGCAGTTACACAGGATGTTCACAAAGTCGACTGGAAACTCGGTCGTTCAGATGACAACTCAGATTTCAGCTCACATACATTGGTCAAGTAAATACTTGGAATTTAATTTAATTACGCTTTATATGATTTTTATTATTGTGGTTACTGGGCTTATTAGAGTATTTCCCTATCTAATGTCATTGATTATGTGTTTAACGCAGACTCGTATAATTTTAGGTGTACACTTGATTTTGACAGAAGATTCGCAGATTAAGCTATCTTCTGTATCCAGAAATTCTATCCAATGTTACTATATGAGCCATTCATAATCAATGCATCAGTCGAAGTTACCACACTTATTATCAGCACAGCAAAAGAAAATTATAATACAATGAAAAAAGAAAGAACTAATAGTTGCATTACTGATTGTAGAATTGCGATATCCTAGGTCCCACCGGTATTCCAGTAGTATATCACCAGTTTATCTACTTTGTACACTCAGTAAGGTTTGCCACTTTGTCTAGAATGGTAGTTAAACATTGCTTTGGTCCTGTTAGTTTTATTTAGAGCTTGCTTTCTAAAATGCTTGTTTTCGCGTTCAACTTATATTTTTTCCATTCAGCTTAGTACTATCTTTTACGTACTAATCGATAAACTTTCTATATCCCATTCTCCCATATTCAATTAAATCTGAGACACCCTAATAATTTTCTTAGTGGGATTGTACGTGTGGCTTTCATACTTTTCAATGGAGTAATTATTATTTAAGATTGAAGCTTCATTGATTCTAACGAGATATTTCTTACTTATAACTTCATAATTGAATAGCTGTCCCATTAAACACGCTTTTTATTTGATGGATAGGAATAATATTCAGGTGCCTTGCCCAAACGAGAGTTTTGAATAAGAATTTCTGTCGGTCAAAACCTCGATAGTTTTAAAGTGGGTTTTGCTCAGTGTTAAATTGTAAACGCATTCATGATTACATGCAGTTTATGCTGACTTGATAATGTCCCTTTTTTACTGAATTCTGTCTTAGATATCCCATAAACAACGCTTTATTCATCTAAATGTCTAGGAATTATTCTCTTCTCACTAATGTACATGAGACACTGAGGTTACAAATTCCTTTTTGATGAAAACGCTGACAGTACAGGTCTTCTGAATGCCTTTAGTAATAATGCAATCTTGTTTAAGAAGCGTTTCTCTCCCTCTGAATATAAGATTTTACTTCAGGACTAGCCTGTGTCATCACCTATTTTGATCGTAATGAATTCAGTAGTTGAGTTTGTTGACCACTTAACTTATCTTGGTAGTCATATTAGCTCTGATGAGTTGGTGGATGATGAAGTTTCGATACGGATTATTAAAAATCGGCTGACTTTTGCCAACTAGCGTTACCTGTGTCGTTGGTGAGATAGCTGTCTGTGAATGAGCGGGCTGGAGATGTGTAAACTAATCCAATCTGTTACTTTATGGCTGTCAAACGCAGTCTTCTAAAGTAGAGGGGATGTGTAGGTCACTCTCCTTCAATGCATTGTTCGTGTATTCTGGTATTACCAAGTTAACATATTTCAGGCCAGACACAGAATATTGAATATCAATCCATGAGGTTATTAGCCATTCAATTGAGCCATGTTGGTATATTCAGAGCACCTGATTGAAGTTCACATGGTTACTATTAATATTGATGGTTGGACACGTTAGATGACATGGCTCAGAATCGACGCGTTAGCACAGATCTGTTACCAATGTTCAGTATTCCTCACTATCATTTCCGGTACGTAATTCGATTTCTTTGTTAATTTTATCTCAGTGTTACTGCAGGTTTACAACTTTGGCCAAGACACATTAATTTCAGGATGTACGCTGGTTTTGTCTAACTGACATATATTTATTTTGAGATAACGTGTTTTACTTCCGCGTAAGCTTATTCCGAGAATTGAAAGAGTTACGTTTGTGCGTTACATTTATTTCCGTAACCATATAAATTTTTAATTTTGTGTACTAGAAAATATCATATATAGTGGAATGCTTTTTTTATGGGAAGTTTGTTGGGTGATCAGGTCATTTTGTCACTAAAGTATGCTCTAAGAACTACAAAGACTTACCAATCTGTAAATCATAATGGAACTTTTCGAAAAAATACGCGTGGTTCCAACTGTTCATCTTTATGGTACTTATTAGGATCACGGACATGGTATGTTTTACTGATATTCACCAAATATATTTACACAGTAACTAGTTAACCTCGGATTTAACTAGGCATTCTTATTTCAGAACAGTTTAATTTTATAACTGCGAAAAATTGTGATATTATTTATTTGTCACTACATTCAGAACAATAGTGGGATCCAACTTGGTTGAAGACCTGTAGTATAGACTCATTCATAGTGACTCAGTTGCATTTATTCTCTATCTTACTCGAAATCCTTACTTTATCATCATTTCTAACCTTCTATCCTTCAACTGCATTTCGTCCTTCTAAACTGTATTTCTAACCTTTGAATTTTAACTTTTCTTGGTGTTATTTTTATACTATTCCTTTAGTTTGCTTGATCTCTTTTCGCCATGATGACAAGAAATATAACAACTTGAACTGATGCATACGTGAGCTATGTTTTACGTTGATAATGACTGACTGATGATACTAAATTTTCAAGACTGATTAACCATTTCGATTATCGATGTTGTAGACTATGAACTACCGTAGGAATAACTATTCTGGCCGATAACTCATCAATGTATCGAAAGTAGTTTGTTTTAGTTTGCTGATACATGTGTACTTTTGCTTCGGGGAAAACAAGGCGTATTTGATCCATCTACCACTAATAAACAAGATGTGGCAGATGAGGCGAATCTGTAAATTAGTCACGTGAGGACTTAGTCTTTATTCACCTCTTCTTAGGTTAGAGTACATCACATTATACGCAAAAATATTCATTAGTGTTTATACATAAGGTATCTGTATATAACCATTCATTGCAAACTGGTTTTACATTCAATATAGTTACATGTTTTTATTTATACACTAACCAGTATTACTCTTTGTAATTCTCTATTTTAAGATTTAGTCTTATGAGTATAGTAATTTATTTAAAAAACCAGTATTTAATAATATAGAATTATTGGGATATGAAAAGTTTACCAAGTTCATATTCGTGTTTTTGACTTTAAGTCACTCAGTTGATTTAAAGTTTAGAATTACAATCAGCTTCACAAATCAAAGTGTTAAACGGCTTCAAATCTGTGATCTAGTGGTTGAATTTTGAATTCTGCAACCATTGTTTGCTACCATCTCACACTTCCTGTTACTCCAAACGGAACATAGGCTGCCGACCAGCATTCTCCGACCCACTCTATCCTGAGCTTTCATTCCTAGTTCTACCCAATTTTCGTTCATTCTTCTCATATCTGTCTCCATTTCTCAGTGTACTATGTTCTTTAACCTTGAGGATTCCAAACTGAAGGTTTGCTTTGTAACGCAGTTGGGTACTTTCTTCAATATGTGTCCTATTCACTTTCAGTTCTTCTTTCTGATTTCTTCCTATACTGGGATCTAGTTTGTTCTCTCCTACAATAGGTTGTTGCTGACACAATCCACTATTATTTTATGATTGCTCATAATATTATCATCGTTGATATGATTGTAAATAACTGATTTTATTCAGAATTTCACTTGTTAAATAATATTTTGTTATTTTATTTTGCAATATGGGAAATAAATGAATGAACAAGGAAACTTTACAAAATGGTCAGAAATGGAGGTATATTAATTCATAGGGAATCTATTGATTATTAGTCTAAGAAACACAGAAGAAATCCAAGTTATATTTAAAGAATAGTGGAATATATCAATGACTTAGCATATATGAAACGTGTTATTCCAAATCAATGGTTATAATAAAGTTGCTTTATTCTATATCAACTCGATATTATAACAAGAGTTGAAATATATCTTCATTATAAATATTGTATTATCTTATAAAGATTAAGGTGTAAAGAGTCTCTGATACTATAATTTCTCTATTTCCTCTTTCTATGATTGTTCTCAACTTATAATTAGATAATATTTACTTTCAGTTATGAGATCGTTTATACATAGTTCTTGTAAAAGTTCACATTCACAATCCTTCATAGCATTAAAATTTAAATCTCCATGTTCCTGTTTCATTTAAGTAACTGAGTGAAAATCTAATGATACACATTTTCGAACTTATAGCTTTTAATTGGATTTTTTTGAAGTTTCAATGAGTAACCATAATCTATGAAAGGAAAACAATACTCACTAGTGATATATAATGATAGTTGCATTACATTTTGAAATGACTGAATCTGAAAATAAACAAATGTGTTTGTTCGTTTCCATAAAAAACCCTTAGTTTTCAGGATTTTATTTTCCGTTCAGTCGTAGGTGTTGATTGTTGTAAGGTTTCAAATCTGTACGAAACAATTGTTTAGTTTTGTTACCTTATTTTCAATGATTTTTCAGTCGATTGCTTAGTGTTATGAGAATTATCATTTGTAACTAAATTTATTGAGAACTGCATCATAAGTCAATAAAATCTATCTCTCTTTATTATTTTTGCGGTCTTAAACATCCCTATGTATAGACCTTCATCAAATTCCAAGGTTCGATTTTCTTCACCTGAAGACTTTGTACGTAAATCAGGCGGTGTTAGAATAATCGAGAAGGTAAATCACTTACATTTTTACATTGAGTGTTTGTTTTATTACAAAATGAATGAGTCTACAAACTAAACAATTAATGTGAAGGAAATATGAGTCCATCAACTGATTTGTTCCTAAAATCCCTTTTATGATATATATGAGGTTGTCTAGAATTAGTTTATAGATACATATAAACATATCACAATTTCTTCGTTAAACGGCAAAGATATTTAGCTTAGGTAATACTTTTTACAGTGTTGTGTTCCTTGAGGTAATTAGTTTAACTGCTGAACTTTCATTGTCGTTGTTGACAACATTGTCAGTTCCTACTGATACATGAAGTAGGCGGTGATGATGTCATCCGGAACGGCTATGAAAGCTCTGTAATTTTACCATCTAGCTCAGCTCACATAAAATCATCAAAAGGTATGGGAAGTGTCTGCTTTCATACGACAGTAAATCCATTTATCGGTTATTTTTTATAGATGTTTATTTCATTTTCTAAAGATTCTGATCGCAAACAATGGTATAGCAGCAGTGAAATGTATGCGTTCTTTACGAAAATGGTCATATGCTACATTCGGCAGTTCCGATGTTTTACGTTTTGTATGCATGGCAACACCAGAAGATATACAAGCTAATGCTGAATATATAAAAATGGCGAATAAAATGGTTCTGGTACCAGGTGGTTCCAATGTAAATAATTACGCTAATGTTGAACTAATTCTACAAACTGCTGTAACTAATGAAGTTGATGTAAGCTTAACTTTCTTGATTACTTGTATTGATATATTTTCAGTGTACGTATTCTTTTGGCAGTAATCATTTGCAAGTATAATACGTTATAGCCAAGGTGCATATATTAATCATCTTATTCTAGATTTTTGGTACCAGTTATCTTTCATAAGTACCTCTTCATTCTGTCTTGTCATCAGGTTAAAGTATCTTTAAGTTCGAACAACATACTGATGTAAGTCATCTATTGCATCATCTCAATATTGAGTTTGGTGTACAAGATCAAACATGCATCATTTCTGTACGTTCGATTTCATTTTCTATCCGTAAATGATTGTATCCTTCAGATGAAAATGTTCAGTAGATGTCTGATTATTTATTTTCCTTTGTAAGTTAATCCAAATGTCTAACTATTGGTTTTACTACTTACGTTTGTGATCTTATTGTCGTACGATGGGCTATACTGCAAATTCGTGCATGGAGGGCAACTCACAGATTCATTATAAGTGAAGACTGGTGTCAGACAGGACTATTTACTTTCACTCATTCTATTTCTTCTGGTGGTTAACTGGATTATATAGGCTTCCAAATCTCAGGAGGAGTACGGAATACAATGAACAGCTTGAATAAAGCTAGACAATTTTGAATTCTCAGACAACCTAGCTCTTGTATCCCATACATAGCAGTACAGTCAGGGAAAGATAGTCAATGTAATAACAGCCTCTGCATCAGTAGGCTTCAATATACACAAGGGAAAAAAACAACATCCTCAAATACAACACTGTTAGTACCAACCAAATAACACTTGATGGGGAAACTCTGGAAGAGATGGAATCCTTCATGTACCTTGGAAAAATCATCTATGAACATGGAGAATCTGATGCAGATGTAAAAGTGAGGATTGGCAAAGCAATTACCGCATTCCTACAATTGGAGAACATATGGAACTCAAAACAACTGTCAACCAGTGTCAAAGTGCGAATCTTCAATACAAACGTCAGGACAGTTCTACTGTACGGAGCTGAGCCTTGAAGAACTACCACAACCATCATCAAGAAGGTACAAGTATTTATAAACAATTATCTATGCAAGATACTCAGCGTTCATTGGCGGGATGCCATCAGCAACAGCCTACTATTGGAGAGAACAAACCAGCTTCCAGCTGAAGAGGAAATTAGGAAAAGATACTGGAGGTTGGTGGGATATACTTTACGGAAACCATCAAACTGAATCACGAGGCAAACGTTAACTTAGAATCCTAAAGGCTTAAGGAGAACAGACAGACTAAAGAACACTTGCCCATGGTAATAAGGGGCATTCATCAAAACAATGGTTCGCACTTAACAATTATTGGAAAAGAGAGCCTAAGACAAAATCGACCGGACAGTGCTGGTTGGCAGTCTATGCTCGACAAGCAGTAACAAGAGTAAGCTAGTAAGTAACGTTTACAATCTTCTGAAATACCCTCCTGTAAGTAATGTTGGTATACTGTTCGATGCTAGACAAACCATAATATTATCAAAAATATCTTATTCAATAGTTTAAATTCATTATTGGTTCTTACTCTATTATCCTTTCAATGTGAGGATAACTTACTGACTATTTAATTAGATTAAGCAAACAGGAGAAAATGATCATGAAAATTCTACTGAATAAACATTTTTGATAATTAAAGCAATTCTTTTGTACATTCTCAAAAATCATGAAGTGTGTTAATAGACACAATATTTTCATATATGTAGCTCTGAATTATGATGATAATAATAACATTTTGTGTTCGTTTAATAGGTGTTTAGTATTACAACACCACTTGGTAAAAAGCTAATAGATTCACCTTTTTATTTGGTTACCTCTCTCTATATATTAGTCAATCAGCTACAGCATAGGACCAGGCACATATATACATCGGTCCAAGTTGCCATACCTCATTAACACAACAGGATACATATATGTAAATCAGTTATTTATAGAAAACGCAAATATGTTTCCGTTCAATTTGTTGTTGTTGTTGTACCTTATATTTCCTCTACGAGAAAGTAAACTAAAAAAGAAACAACAAAAGAATATAGATGATTAAAGGAAATCATCTAAGTATAGGAAATACATTTCAAAGAAATAAGTAGCGTAAGACAACAGCAAACTAATTATTTCATAGTAGATAACAAAATTAATTATTTTAGACTTTTGCCTCTATATCTTTTTAATGATGATAATAGTTTAAATATTTTTCATCTTATCTCATATTTCACTGGTTGAAATCGTGAGTCAATTGAAGCTAGACCACCATGGAAAACCTGGAAGCACTGGACGGTCATTTCGTCCTAGTATGGGACTCCTCAGCAATGAGCATCCACGATCCCGCATCCCGCGAGATTCGAACCCAGGACCTATCAGTCTCGTGCGCGAGATCTTAAGCACTAGAGCACTGAGCCGGCATACGACGGTATTAATGTCGAACTTCAACCAATCCACGAAGTTGCGCCACCGTACACCATTGTCTTCAGTGAGTTGATTTCTCACAACAGACCTGGTTGAACTCCACTGGTAACGGATTCTCACTAGAAATCCAGGAGTATCTCTTGAAGTCAGTTACTAGTGAGGTGATCTAGTTAGTCTAGTTGATTAAGCGCCTAGCGCGAGATTGATAGGTCCTGGGTTCGAATCTCGCAGGGTGCGGTATCGTGGATGTGCACTACTGACGAGTCCCACAATAGTATGACACGGCTGTCCAGTGTTTCCAAGTTTTCCATGTTGGTCTAGCTTCAATTGACTGATGGTTTCAATCAGTTAAATTTTTAAAATCTCCACAAAACCCCTTCTGATAATTATCTCATATTGTTCACTCATTTTTATGGTTGATTACTGACCTACCTACCTACTCTTATTAAATATAAATGGCATACATACCTATTAAAGTAAGTAAGGTGTATTCAAGTGAATAAATTCTAAAGTTTTATTCATGACTGTAGACATACTATTTATACAGTTGTAAAGATTAATATATATATTCATTTTTTACCAAATGATAACAGATATATACTATTATCTACTATGTCTATCCAATGAACCAACTAAATCACACATACTTCATTTATTCTACGTATGCTGAGGTTTTCTCTATCTTTCTTCATTATAATCTAAATCGGTTGCATCCAAGTTTGGTATATTTGGTTGTAATATTGAAATCTGTAGAACAACTAATCAACGTAAACTAGAAATAAGTCATCTTGATCATCGATTGTTAAATAAACATCATGTGGTATAACTATTGAACGTCGATGTTTAAAAAAAGTTATTGGCTAGTCACCCTGGTTGTTGTGTGCTAGGTTCAACGAGAATTGTATGCTATATGCATGCAAATCCACCCCGTTATTGTTCCTATTTCAACGTCCCGCCTATAAGCACTGGGTTTCTGCAGGTTCCTTACAACTCATTGAAGCCCGTCGGTCTACTCCGGGTGACCGTGAGTTTGACCATAAACGAAGGATGTTACGTAAGGAAATTCGGCAAAGCTTGCGTAAGGACCGCGAAGCATGATGGTCGAAGCGTGCTAATGAGCTGGAAGCAGCAGCTGCATCTGGTAACTACCGGAAGCTCTTCCAACTCATCCGAACCACTGACAGCAAGAAGTCTAGTGTGAGTGAAACAATCTGCGAGGATGATGGGATGCCAATTACTAACATCCATCGACGTCTTGGACGATTGGGAGAATTTTTCGAAAGGCAGTTCAACTGGCCTGCTGCTCCGGCAACATCGGTCAGACTGTCCTGCCCTCCATGGCTGGTGACGACTGATCCACCAAACGAGGAGGAAGTCCGCAAGGAACTCCAACTCTTGAAGCGTTACAAATCACCTGGCCCAGATGACTTACCTCCGGCTCTTTTTAAAGATGGTGGTGACTTTTTGACTAAGGAATTGACGACGTTGTTTACAAAGGCTTGAGAACTAGAGAGTGTACCAACGTCATGGAATGAGTCGATAGTTGTCCCTATCTTTAAAAAGGGTTCACATCGTTCCTGTAACAACTATCGGTGGATAAGTCTACTTCCGATTGCGTCCAAGCTATTGGCTTCCGTCATACTTCGTAGGTTGTTCAAAACCCGAGAAAGATTGACTCGCGAGGAGCATGCTGGGTTTCGTTCTGTTCGAGGATATATTGATCATATCTTCACCCTCCGCCAAATGTTAGAACACCGCCATACTTATCAAAGGCCAACAATCGTAGTGTTTCTTGACATCAGGGCTGCCTTCGATTCGTTGGACAGGAGTGTTCTCTGGGATTGTCTATTGAAGAAGGGTGTGCCTGAGAAGTTTATTAACATCCTAAAAGCCCTATATATAAACACCTCAGGCGGAGTGAGGGCATACAACCACCTCTCTCCATTGTTCCATTCGAGTAGTGGGGTTAGGCAGGGTTGCCCAATCTCAGCATTCCTCTTCAACTTTGCCATCGATGACATTCTGGAAACAGCTCTGATGGATGTAAGTAATGGCGGTGTGGACCTGTTGTCTGGAGAAAGACCTATCGACCTTGGGTATGCGGATGATATTGTCTTACTGTGCGATAATGCCCAAGGCATGCAATCCGCACTTAATCAGTTGGCAATCAGTGTCCGTAGGTATGGTATGTGCTTTGCACCTTCGAAGTGTAAAGTACTTCTACAAAACTGGCAGGATTCCAATCCTGTACTCACCCTGGATGGTGAGCAGATAGACGTAGTCAAGAAGTTCGTGTATCTGGGTAGCTGCATAAGTGCTGGTGGGGGTGTGAGTGATGAGATCAATGCACGTATAGTGAAAGCCAGAGTGGCTTATGTCAATCTGGGCCACCTTTGGCGCCTTCGTGATGTTAGTCTGGTTGTAAGAGATCAGATCTACAACGCGTCAGTGAGAGCAGTTCTGTTCTATGCTTGTGAAACCTGGCCTTTCCGAGTTGAGGACGTTAGACGACTCTCTGTGTTCGATCATTGCTGTCTCCGAAGGATTGCTGACATTTAGTGGCAACACCATGTTAGTAATGCAGAGGTTCGGCATCGTGTGTTTGGGCACAGAGATGATAATTCAATTGGTGTCACCATCTTGAAACACCGACTTCGGTGGCTTGGACATGTCCTACGAATGTCGTCTCAGGGAATTCCGCGTCGTGCATTATTTGCCGACTCTGGGACTGGTTGGAAGAAGCGGAGAGGTGGTCAGTGCATGACGTGGTGTCGTGACATGAAAGAAAGCTGCAAAGGACTGGCTTGTGTTGGTCCTTCACGACTCTCTGGTTGGGGTCTGAGAGATGGTACTACACAGTGGCTAAAGACGTTATCAGATATGGCTCAGAATAGAAGCCAGTGGCGATCCTGCTGTAACCTTCCTTTACTTTCTTCATAAAAAGTGGTTGTGTCTCCCTTACCTGAAAGATTTTTTTTTCCGATTGCACCTTTCCGTTCCCTCATTACTACCACACTACCTTACACCAAACTCTTCGTTATTGTTCTCTTTTTTTGCGCTCCTTAGCTTTTTTTCTATTTCTCTTCGAATTCTCATCGTTTTGTGTGGCGCATATATATTGGCTCTCTCTTGTACCAATATTCATGTGTTCAAATAAATAAATAAATAAATAAAAACCCTGGTTGAAACAAGTATCATCTTTGCTTAAAAAGATTGTGACTTAAGTCTATATCGAGGCAATCCGCACAGGATGCACGTATGCCAACATGAGACTGACCAATTACAGTCCTAAATAATAATGGGAAAATACAAGTACAGCAACACTAGGCGAGACTTTAATTTATGAACGACCTTTGAACGAATCTCAAGTGACCTTGAAAAATATTAGTCAAACAGCAAACACTCAGTATAGAGTAAAAATATATTGTACAAAACCAATGAAATAAAGTGGATACACTTCTTGTACGTGGTCCAAAAACTCGTCAAGGTTAGGAAAAGGTTCAGAGGTCCTTAAATCGTAATGCATGCGGTAGAGGAAATCATCCATATGGCTACAGAATATTCGGCCTCATGAGCCATGATAAATTCCCAAAAACCCTTTCAGCCTCGACTACATAGTTCCAATATTACTTATGTGTACTTCGGCTGTTGAGTACGCAAAATGCTACTTGTGGATAACGACACGATGCACATAACCAATTCTATGTAGGAGTCTGTGCGCTCTCCAAACATCCGAATATATATTGCAGTACCTGGCTGCAACCAGTGTTAGTGGTGCTTTGACTATCCGTTTCGCGATAGTTGTCATAATTTGCCGTAGTTAAGAATTATATATCCTGTTTTCATCACGAACTGACATCAAGTATAATGCCAGGAGTTTATTTAACCAAAAGGATTAAAGGCTCTCGCGTTAAAATCCGAGATCTATTATCTTATACCTGATTGATTCGTTCACAAATTATAGTCTCGCAGTTTTATTTGTTATAGCCACTCAGTTATCACGTTTTCTACAAAATTCGTTGTGAACCGATCGTACGTTAGCATTAAGTATTGAAGTTGGCGCCGTAACCTTGAAATCTCTAAGACGCTTCTGATTGGCTCGTCCATAAATTACAGTCTCGCCCAACACTAAGTGAATTTATCATTAGTACTGTTTGACTTGGTAATTTCAACTGAATTTAGCGGTATAGTAAAGTAATAATCATTTTATAGGTAAAAGTATACTATACTGATACTGTTTAGTTATAAAACAATTAACAATACAAAGTAATAAAATAACAGTGGAATAATAGATCAAAAATTAAATTATCTCTTATAGTAAAGTAAAAGTTCAAGTTTATTTACGTACATACATACATATTAGGAGTCAGCTTAATGTTGTAAGTTAGGGTTATCATCCTAAAAAGTTCTCTTCATCAATTGAAATTAGTTATCATGAGAAAAGGTTAAGGTTAGTCAAAGTGAAGTTTTTATTTTGGTTTACAAATTGATGGTTTATAACACAAACTAGTATAAAATATAATGCAATTTCTTGACACCTTTCTCCTGTTTATAAACCTGAAGAACTTAGGATTGAGATTTAGAGTTAAATTAAGAAAAAGGATAATGTTATCTAACTTCACTAAACACTCTTGATTACTCAGTCAACGATTTCAAGTAATTTAACACACAATCTGCTATAGTAATATGTGTTTTGTGTAATTTAACTTAAGAACCATCTAAAATTCACTTTTTGGTTGTATAATAGATATTTTCATTGATTTCAATCATTTTAAGTATTAAAAATTGCCAATATTCACTTGGTTAACACTGAACTTAAACATTCGCTCATAATACATATGGCGTTATCTTAATTCTGGCTGGTTAACTCAAGTCATTGACATCTTGAATAAATTTATTACTGCTTTGTTTGTTGAAAAATTCTACACTTAAGTTTTTCATTTATTACTGTTAACACTTCAATTTAGTTGAAGTTAGACATTAACATCGTTGGATGCCGGCTCAGTGGTCTAGTGGTTAGGCCCTCACGCGCGAGACTGATAGTTCCTGGGTTCGAATCTCGCAAGGTGGGATCGTGGATGTGCACTACTGAGGAGTCCCGCGATAGGACGAAACGACCGTCCAGTGTTTCCAGGTTTTCCTTGATGGTCTACCCTCAACTGACTCATGATCTCAAACATTAAAATTCAATTTAAACTAATAATTAGTTTTAATTTACAGAGTTCATATCTCTTTACCATGTGAGACTTTATTTTATCTCCTTTGTATGTATGAAATTGAGGAATGGTAAACAGTATATTTTTCATTGAAATAGTTCTTTGCAATAAAGTTACACTCAATCTATCCAATTAGTACACAAATTGAACTGTAAAGATTGTTAGTTATGGACATAAATTAATGAACAAGCAGATAATCTTAAGTCATTCTGATCTTGATTATTAGTCTTTATTTGACTGCTTATCAATGCATTTCCGCATAATTTTAATTCATACACAAACTGGCATTCTAAAAACATTAATTTAGAAAATTTAGGTTAATATTATCATTACGTTGGGTAACGTGTAAAGATTTAGCCCCTTATGATTTGCGAAATGGCTCTGCGACGAAATCAGGGAATTTTAAATGTGTTTTGGTTAATGGTAATGAAGATGGAATATGTATACTGTGGAAAAAATAGGGAGGATTTTTAAGTGTTTAAGATTGATGCTATGTTCAATGAAATGTTTATGATTTCAGTTCGGGTATTTGTTGGACAAAGTATTAATATATAATATGAGATGGATGGGTTTCTGCAAAGTCCACATTTGATGTATTCAGCAAACTTTCTTCATAACCATAGGGATTCGTTGAAACAAGACAAGGAGTGTGACTACACCAAGACAATATATTAGTCGTCAAACTCACTGATTGTTAATCTGACCTTTGTCAAAACCGATAAACTCTCTGACTGTATTCTTCAAGATAATTTTAATTTATGGTTAAAGGTTTTAATTGATGACGATACAAATGTGTTTCAGCGTCGCAGATGCATTTATTATTATTTATTCCTTTCTTAATCTTGAATTCCTGTATCTTTCCGTGCTTTTGATTTGTTCTTTTTGCATCTGTTTTTTTATTATGGTTATTTCATATTCCTTGATTGTAATTGTAGTGGTTTTATAAAGATTTTTTTATTTATATATTGTGTGATATTTGTCATTTGAGGTACCATTCAATCTAACAAGCATTCAGCTGCTGTTCTGTCCTCGTATGAGACTCTTCGTCAGTGCGCACCTAAGACCTCTGAGGTGATAAGTCTCTAGACCTACGGTTTTTTTATGTTTATTTGTCTAAGCCACTGGATTAGTATCCAGTGGTACACATTTCTAGGTTCAACCAGTTTATTCTTAAAATGTTTCGTGTATTTTTTTGTGATAAAACGAAGTTGGATTATTAGGGTCAATCCACCTTTTTTCTTAGATTCTATTTTTGTCATGACTAATTGATTAGTCTGTAAAATGATTTTCTTTAATCAGATATTATCTTTTTGTTTTTAAATTTCATGCTTAAGTTACCTCTTTTTTTCAGGCTGTGTGGGCTGGTTGGGGTCATGCATCGGAAAATCCCCAATTACCTGATGTGCTCAGTAAACATAATATTGCATTTCTTGGTAAGCCCTTTAATGAATAATTATATTACTACTCCTCTATGGTTGCGCACACAATCTAATTATCTTTAAATACTTTAAAGGCTACTTAAAAGAAATACATTTATATATTATTATCAGAATGGGTTTTGTGGAGATTTTTAGAAACTTCACTGGTTGAAATCATGAGTCAATTGAAGCTAGACCACCATGGAAAACCTGGAAGCACTGGACGGCCGTTTCGTCTTAGTATGGGACTCCTCAGCAGTGCGCATCCACGATCCTGCACCCCGCGAGATTCGAACCCAGGTCTGTTGTGAGATAGGAACTCAATGAAGACAATGGTGTACGGCGGCGCAACTACGTGGATTGGTTGAAGTTAGACATTAACACCGTTGGATGCCGGCCGGCTCAGTGGTCTAGTTCGTTAAGCGCCTGGCGCAAGACCGATAGGTCCTGGGTTCGAATCCCGCGGGGTGCGGGATCGTGGATGCGCATTGCTGATGAGTCCCATACTAGGACGAGACGGACGTCCAGTGCTTCCAGGTTTTCCATGGTGGTATAGCTTCAACTGACTCATTATTTCAACCAGTGAAACATATATATATTCCCTGTAAGTTCAGCTAGTTGGGTTGGGTCTCACATCTATTAAACAATATTTTATATTTGAATATACGAATCGCCGGACGATAAATTCTCAGTGACTAATTTATAGACCGTTTTGTTTTTAATCATATAAATTGATCATTTTATTTATATTTGTTGAGCTTGGATTTTCAACGACTAATAAGTTCAATAAAAAGTCAATGTACATTTTGATGTTGCCAAGTTATCTGAACTTGATGGTGATTATCTCTTCCGAAAGCATTCATCATCGTCTTAGACAACACACGAGATCGGATATTCTAGGGAGCACCAGTTCCGTCAAGATTACAGGTACACCTTGCTGACGAGTGCCAAGTAGCACGAAACCCGGGTCCAGGGCTTCCTGTCGACTACCTCCAACCACCATCTAATTATTGTAATTATTTCACAAACGCTATATCAGCTCCTTCTGATAACCTCGTTCGTGAATAATTGATAGGTTGATGAATAGGTTTTACTATCTCTATATTTCTTCGCATCGCTGTTGACTGTTTTCTTTCAGTTAACCTCTTACCATATGACTGATTGTTTTTTACAGTATGAATCAATTAGTTAAAAATCTCTGTCAACATGAATCTCTTGATTGCAGATTAGTTTGCTTCTAGAAATTCTCTGGGATTTTTTATAAACTCTTCAGTTTAGAAGTTTTGTATTTTTCTAACCAAATTCCTTTCTTTGATCGTCTGGATGAAGCCAGGAGAGATAATATTGTCCAAAATGACCATAAAAACTGTTCATTTGAACCACCTGACTAGAAAAGCTTTGCATTACTGAAATTGTTCATTTGAGCATTTCAAAAATTGATTGCATTAAACATTTGATAATCAAGTATCTGACAACAGAATTGCCATGACAGTACGCGATTATATAATATAATAAATTATTCATTGGTGCAGTATTTGCTGACAACAATGTTTACTTACGTACTTTCGCCTCATGACATGTTGAAGTGATTGCCCCTTTTATCCATTTTCAGTTGCTCTCCATAGTAGTTCCTTCTCCATTGAGTAGTTCATGAAAGGCCTGGAACTTATTGCTGAGGGCTATCTTGAATGTGTTGAGTTTGTCAGTATCCCGAAGAAAAGCCGTATTGAACTTTTGTGATATTGTCCGCCCCGTTGTGACAATAATGTTTAATATCATTTATACAATAATATACAAGTATTTTTGATCAATGTGTTTATCCTTATATTTTTTGTATAATTTTTAATTATTTTCTTTAGGCCCATCGCATCAGGCTATGTGGACACTTGGTGACAAGGTTGCTTCTACAATACTTGCTCAAAGTGCTCATGTACCCACTCTTCCTTGGAGTGGTTCTGGTGAGAGTAGAATTCGAATAATCTCTGATATTTTATGTGTTTCTCATAAGAATTTATATATTTAGTTAACTAAATGTCTTGTCATATAACGGAATGATGAATTTTAACAATCTAATCTGTCTAATTTGCTAGTTGGATACTCGCAAAACACGATCCTGATAATCCCCTCCCACATTCGATATTAAATTATTCATATACATGACATAAGTGTGGCCAATTATGGCGTGGTACTTTGGTAGCAGAAGAACACAGAGTACAAAAAGTCTTGGTTTGATAAAGGCTTATTTTATATCGGTCTTAACTTATTGCTTTGTTGAATCGAAAACAATAGACATGCAAGTACAGGCAATTAGTATTTTTATTGATGTATTTGTTAGAGTTTTCTAACAAAAGTCCAATTACCATACTGTTGAACATTGAATAATTCAATATCGGGAGTAATTCAGTCATAATTAACGTAGGACCTAGCACTAATTTATTTTCTCCTAAGTTGCCACTAGACATAATAGAAAATTGAACAGTATGACTAAACAATATTACTGCAAAACATAGAGGATTTAATCTCATTAACATGAAAATTACTGTGTTGCTATGATTGCATATCATGATTTTTAAATGATGTGGAGTAAATCTGGCAACAAGAAAATGCATCATTTTAGTCTATTCTTTTAACTGGTAAGAACCGGTAAAGTCTGTACACTTGTTTATCGGACTATCAGTTATTTGTCTAAATAAACCGCATAGTGAGGATTTCGTGACCCTCATTTTAAGGTTATTTTTGTCAGTTCTCTATCACCAAAGAAATAGAACGAGCTAAAAGCAAACGGAAGTCCAAACACGTGTTCGTCAAGAGATCTAATCGTCAACCCTTGGAATGGTCGTGGATATACGCATCTGACAAGTCCTATACTAGCTCGAAACAGCTTTCTAATGTTATTTCGTAATGCAAACTCCAAGTTGAATAGTCCCCACAAACTTCCTGATACTAAGATATTCACTTTTGCTAGGTTTTTATCAATACACTTTCTCAGAACTTTTCAGTTTATCAAAATTTAGTATAACCAATTTGAATCCAAATCCTTGTTTGTCTAAATGTCTTGTTGTGGTGATTGGTCAGTTTTTCTTGTAAAATTCATTTCAATAGTTGAGATCCTCAGTCAATTGAAGCTAGACCACCATGGAAAACCTAGACGGCCGTTTTGTCTTATCGTTGGACTCCTCAGCTGTGCGCATCCACGACATATTCTAATTAATGACTGGGGTCAAGAGGTATTTCCTGGAGTTTTAGTGAGAAGCAGTAACCAGTGGAGTTCAGCTGGGTCTGTTATGAGATAGCAACTCATCGAAAACAATGGTGGATGTGTCGCTCGATTTTGTGGATTAGTTGAAGTTAGATATTAACATCGTTGGATGCCGGCTCAGTGGTCTAGAGGTTAAGAGTTCACGCGCGAGATCTATATGTCCCGGGTTTGAATCCTGCGAGGCGGAATCGTGGATGCGCACCGTCGAGGAGTCCTACGATAGGACGAAACGACCGTCCAGTGTTTCCAGATTTTCCTTGATGGTCTACATTCAATTGATTCATGATCTCAACTATTAAAATTACTATAATGTTCATAAAAATCCCTTATGACATTTAAATTCATTTCAATTTATCACATAAAGTAAATTATGATATTTTGTAGATCTAACTATATCACTTGATCGATCTGCCAATGGTCAGTGTTCTAATAACGAACCAGAAACAGTTGATAATTTAACATTGAATATGGTAAAATCTAGTGGTCTATCACAGAGATCATCATCTGTATATTCTCGTCTAATATCTGAAGATTTATATCGTTCTGGTTGTGTGACAGATGTGTCAAGTTGTTTGAAATGTGCTGATAAAATAGGCTATCCAGTAATGATTAAAGCTTCTGCTGGTGGCGGGGGTAAAGGAATTAGAAAAGCGTTAACTAGTGCAGATATTGAACGTGTTTTTCCTCAAGTTAGTGAATAGTTTTTCTGTGGTTGTTATGATTAGTTACAGGAATGATTTATATAATATAATGAAAAAAAAGTAATTTTCTTGATTCTACAACTCAGCAAACATTTATAAATTTGTGTATTAAGCTTTTACCTACACTTACTCTCGATGAATAAAAAGTCATACGACCTCCTGGAAGTAGTTTAGTTGAATACATAAGCCCTTGATTAAAAATTATATTCAGTCGAAATGAAAAAAATAAGTATATTACTGTTAATATAGGATATAAATAAGAGACAGTAGCAACCTTATTGACAATTTTTTGGTTGTAAGGTAAATTCTGAAAACCTAAATTGTCATTTGTTATAAATTTAGATTTCGTTAGTTTTTTTTTACACATCTTAATGTTAATTATGTAAGAATCTCTTAAAGTTGATATTATGCTATTTTTTTTAATAAGAGTTATATATGTTGATCGTAAGGTTCTATGGCAGTGTTTGTCACTGAAAGGAGTACCAAAGAAGTACATTAACCTTGTAAAGGCTCTCTACTCGAACACAACTGGTCGAGTGAGAGCTTATGGCGAACTGGCATCAGAATTGATTACCTCAAGTGGTATTCGTCAGAGCTATACACTCTCTCCATTCTTGTTTACCTTTTTCGTTGACGTGCTTTTAGAGATAGCACTTTATTCGTCTAGATTTCCAGGGGTTGAACTTCTACCAGGGGATTCACTTGTTGACTTAGAATAAGCCAATGACATAGTTCTATTTGGTGAAGACGCTGACAAAATGCAGTCTTCTGACCACTCTCAGCAACAATGCAGGCATGTTCGGGATGCGATTCTCCCCCTCGAAATGCAAAATGTTGCTTCAGGATTGGGTTGCATCGACACCCGAACTAATGATAGGGAATGAAGTAGTTGAGCGTGCCGACCGCTTCACTTATCTTGGGAGTCTCAACAGCCCTTGTGGTCTGGTGTGTGACGAAATCTCAGCACGGATACAGAAGGCTCGACTAGCCTTTGCGAACTTGCGTCATTTATGGCGTAGGCGAGAAATACGTCTATCAACCAAAGGACGAGTTTAATGCGCAGTAGTTCGTTCCGTCCTACTTTATGGCAGTGAAACATGGCCGGTAAGAGTAGAGGATATTAGTTGGTTACTATTATTTGGTCATATATGTCTTCGAAACATTGCTCGTATATCCTGGGACAATCGAGTAAGTAACACAGTTGTTAGGAAATGGGTACTAGGTAAGGATGGCAAAACAATTAGTGAAGTAGTGAAACCTCATCAGTTGAGAGGACTGGGACACGTGTTACGTATGCCCAACCACCGACTGCCTTGACGTGCGATGTTCAATGGTGTAGGAGTAGGTTGGAAGAAAGCTAACTATGGCCAGATCAAAACATGGCATAAATTCATGAAGTCACTGACAAGTAGACTGAGTCATGTTGGTAGGTGTAAACTACCTGGTTGGGATCCGCGAGAAGATAGCAACCGATAGTTAGAGACCCTGAACGACATGGCTGAAAATCGTTTGCATTGGCGCAGGTGCATCCACTCTTTGTGTTCTCCCAAATTCTAATCTCCTGAATCTTCCTTGTCTCTTTTTTCTCTTTCCAAATTTATTTCACTAGATTATATTTTTTAAATAACATCTCCAAACTCTAATGTTTCTGATTACTGCTTATACTGTTACCGCCTCTATCACTACGGGATTTGAATCGACCACTGCATCTTTGTGCTAATGTGGTGTGGTAACTCGAATTGATGTACGTACGTACGAAGTTCTACGTTGTTACTGACTGACTGACTGACATGTATTCACTCAAGGGAATTTCACAAGTTATTGTTACGATCTAGTCCGTTATCGCGAAAAAGTACTCATAAAGTTTTGTCGAAAAACATCTAGAAACACTCATTGACTTTATTACGCTTGTGATACGCTGATCCAATAAAACCGGTTAAGTAATAGGTGAGAGATGCTGATGTGATCAAGCCTTCGGTTAACATTTAATCTAACTTGCTAATGATATAGATATGCGCTATTCGTTAAAAATCTGACTCGATTCTCTGCAGAAAACAGATGTACATTTATATCTTATTCCAATCAACCGATAAAGACTTCTAACTTACTCTTGACTTTCTCATTATAGTAGCATGTTGTGGTCACATATAGGAAGCGTATATATAACATCAGATTCGGACGACCTCCCGAACGCAATAGTTTGCAATGTAAATCAATGCATTATAATAAAATATGTACTTTAATTCAGTCATAGACCATAGACCATACGAATTCTTACATTATCCTAATTACATTGATTCGTAAATGATTTCATACATCCATAAGTAGATTGGATCCAAATAGCTTAATATCTAGATAGTTTTTGTACAATAAACTGAATTTGTGGATTTCTGTTTTTTTTTTTTACAGTTAGTTTTCAACGTGATTCCTATTAATTGGTAAATTCATTACAAAACAAATGCCCTGGTATGGCCGAGGGTGGAGAGAGCTAGCACTCTCTCTCAAAATACTCTCACATGGCCACGTACATGCAACCACTGCCAAGGAAGTCCTACTCACTGCCTCCTCGCGACATTACTGTTGTTTACGGAATTAAGAGAACGAAAAGTGAATGTCCGGTGCTTTAACCGGGTCGGTGAATACATAGGATTCACCTAAGGGAGTTGGAAAACTCTGATTCCAAACTAATGGTGTACATAGGTTCCAGAATCCTGAAGTAACAAATGGCGTATGAACCATTTATTGGTCACCGACTACCATGGGACTGCATTTCCTGACGTTGATCCACTGACTTGTGGATCAGACCTTTAAGTCGAAGGTTCCTAGTGTGGCTCCCTAAGAAAACCACCTGCTTCGGCCTGTGCATCCAGGCAGTATCACAGCCCACACACAAATCAAGTGACTTGTTTGGCGCATATTGATTCGGTGACCGTTTGTACCAATATTTATGTGTTAAAATAAATAAATGATTGATATACTGGAAACTGCATTATGTCAAATATGTAATACACAACTTATGTTATACAAAATTTGACTTAAAATTTATATATACAATGATGAAGGTTGTTTATTATATTTATTGATCTACCATTCTATAGGTACAAGCTGAAGTACCCGGTTCACCTATTTTTGTCATGAAATGTGCAACATCTGTTCGTCATTTAGAAGTACAAATACTATGTGATATATATGGTCAAGCAATTAGTATGTTTGGTCGTGATTGTTCAGTTCAACGAAGGCATCAAAAAATTATTGAAGAAGCACCTATTATTGTAGCTCCGAAAGAAATTATTGAAAAAATGGAACAAGTAGGAATTGTTTTGTTGTTGTTGTTGAAATTTCCGCCTATCTTTATTCTACGTATCGGTAATTTATTCACTTATTTTATTAAACATACAATTGTTTCATGAAAATTTAATCTTTTTTTCTTTTTATGTATCATTATTACATTTTAAAGGCTGCAGTACGTCTTTGTAAATTAGTTAGTTATGTTAGTGCTGGTACTGTGGAATATCTATACGATCCAGATTCAAATCAATTTTATTTCTTAGAACTAAACCCACGACTTCAAGTTGAACATCCGTGTACAGAAGTAGTTGCCGAAGTGAATTTACCAGCTTGTCAGCTACAAGTAAGTATATATATTTTTTAATTATAAAGTTCATGTACACTGACTATATACTGAAACATGTATAGTTCTGATTCTCTTAATATTAAAAATCTGTTTATAGCTTGATAGTTTAGATAGTCGGTTACCTATCAGTTGATCTTACACTCTAGTTTTCTCCCTTCAAAACTACTTCGTTTTGTACAGGTGAATAGCACCACTAACCTTCACGTAAATATGGCAATCCAATTACCTAGTTCTTTACTTCTTAAGTGATGATTACAGACAATTGTCTATCCGCTTCTTAGTCCCAAATAATTCAAAACCTAAATATCCACCAGACGATTTGTTGATCACATGATATAATATTGATCCAAACAATTAGCTATTGTGTGTAAGAATGTATGTTTAGAACATTCTTGAAGGTAAGTCAAAAGAGTCATGAATCGATAGCAGGAAACAGCTCCTTGGCAGTAATAATGATAAAAGGCCCTTTTGTGTGAGAAATTTTAGCATGTAAAAACAGAAATTCGATCTTCTAAAAGAAAACTAAAAAAAATAAATGGTAGAAACAGATTTTTCTCATAAGCATCCTTGAAAAGTTCAGACAATGCATTACATTAATCGTATTTAATCAAAGTATTAAAGAAACAATCGAATCAAAACATCTCACATGTCTTTATCATCTCATGTTATCATACAAGAACAAAGCATATGGGAGTAACTGAAAGATATATAGTAAGAAGGTGAAATAACGATAACGTCCACAACAGTTTAAAAAATTCTCGGGGTTCTAGTGAGAAGCCGTGACCAGTGGAGCTAATCTATGTAGGGTAGAGACAGGTATCTACCTCAGTACGATGGAAGATGGTCGCACGATTTCGTGGATTGGTTGATGTTAAACACTATCACGATTGGATGCCGGCTCAGTGGTCCAGTAGCTTAAGCGTTCGCGCTCGAGATCGAAGGCCCTGGGTTGGAATCCCGCGAGCAGGATCATGGACTTGAACTTCTGAGGAGTCTCACAATAGGACGAAACTGCCGTTCAGTGCTTCCAGGTTTCTAAAGGTGGTCTAACATCAATCGGTTCATGATCTCAACCAAAAAATTAATAATCTCCACAACCCCTATATTAGTAAAACTGAAAATATTTTGAGGCACTAGTATAATCGGTTTGTGTAACTTGTTGTTTGTCTGATATCGCCAATTGGTTGAAGTTAGAAATGTGAATTATTGAATGTTGACTCAAAGATTTAAAAGGTAAGTGTTCGTTGCTAGACCTGAAGATCTTGGATTAAATTCCTGGATGCTTCATGAACGCATACTACTGGAGAGTCTCAAATCATTATGAAACACTTGTGTAATGCTTTTTTTAATTTTTAATGGTTATTTAACTAGAGTCAGTCTATAATTTAAAATATAAAATTTAAAAGGGGGAATTAAAATGTAATACATTTACGTCGTTGTGGTGGATCTTTAGTTATGTTACCTAAAATTCTAATTCTTTAGCCATAATTATCATATGAATTGCATACAACAGTAGCTTACACCTACCCATACACCTCAAATAGCGTACAACAACGATGTATAACTAATATTCTCAATTAGTTTAGAATATAATATTTGTTTATTATTTATTTTATCACATAAATATTCGTACAAGGAGGCACCAAATATATATGCGCCACACAAATCTCATTTGATATGCGTGAGGGCTGTGATACTACCCCGGTGCCCAAACCGAAGCAGGTGATTTTCTTTGGTAGCCACACCCGGAGCCTTCGACCTGAAGGTCTGGTACACAAGGCAGTGGAGCATCGTAAAGAAGATGCAGTCTCGTGGTGACCGGTGACCAACATTAGGTTCATACGCCATTTGTTCCTTCAGGTAACTGGCGCCCATGTGCACCAGTGGTTTGGAATGAGGGTTTTCCAACTCCCCTAGGTGGACTCTCCATGTCCACTAATCCGGTTAAAGCACCGGACATTCACTTTTTGTCCTCTCAATTTTGTAAACAACACCCCCGCCACGAGAAGGCAGTGAGTAAGAGTTCCCTGTGAGAGGCTATATACGTGTGGCCATATGAGAGTGTTTGGAGAGGGAGAGCGGAATCTCCTCACTCTCGGGCGTACCAGGGCATTCGGTGGCTTAGAATCACAAAAACAAAAAGAGAAGTAGCTGAAAGACAAATTACATATCCTTTTATACTTTCTAAAATGTTTAGATAAAGTATATAAATATATTAAAAAAAGTTCAGAAAAGGGTGTCGATTACACTTGAATCAATAAATTAATAGAAAATCTTTAAAAGAAAAAAAACTGGTAAGATCATAATAAATTGTTGTCACTATGACAATACAAAAAAATTCACTATTAATGTTGTTATTGTTTTTTCCTGTTTACATAAATCAAGGTTTTCTTCATTCATAAATTAAAAAGTGAATTCACATAAAAATATTTTATAGGTTAATCAGATCCTATGAGTTTTTATAGTTTTCTTTCATAAAGATCCATTTGAAAGGGGCTATGTCAAAGGGGTATTATTGCATGTGTAAATGTTATTTACATTTATAAATTTTTAAGATGTATTTTAATTTCGATAATTAAGATCATGAATCTGTTGAAGCTAGACCACCATGGAAAACCTGGAAGCACTGGACGGCCATTTCGTCTTATTGTGGGATTCCTCAACAGTGCGCACCCACAACCTCGCCTCGTGCGAGCTTCGAACCCAGGACCTACTGGTTTCGTGCGCGAGCACCTAACCACTAGACCTCTGAGCCGGCATCCAACTGACTCATGATCTTAATCATTGAAATTACTATAATATCCACAAAACTCGTCTGTTATATTTTAATGTCTAAATGCTTAGATTCAAATTGTATTCTATTGCGTGTAAATATTCTAGTTTGAATACTTTGTTGTAGGTTTCTAGAACCTTTTAATTCATACTGCCACCTCTTCGTCCATCTTTTCTATATACTAGATCGCTGTGTTGAACTTTCCGACTTTTAACTTATGTAGATTTTGATTCTTTTAAAAAGCAAAAAATTTTTATATTCTAAGATGAGTGGGATTAATGAATTAGCTAAAGACTCTTAGCCACCTCTCCACTCCTCTTCATTGTTTGTTTTAAGGAGATCTTGTGTAGGGTAATTGTGAATATTCCTCTTTACAATTCGTAAAATTGAATTACTAAGACACCTGAGTTTTTGTAGGTTTCCCAATTCAGGTGTTTTCAAAATAATATAGTAATACTTTGATTTCTGTATTCTTTGAGTAGAATGGAGACTTGAAAAATCCATTAACTTCAGCTACGATATCTGTGATTACCACAAAAGCTAATGATGCCAACTGACTGATCTATTAAGCAAAATATCTATCTGTCTAATAATGTTGTTGCGCATGTATCGATTTCTGTAGTCTCACCTACATAAAATGGCTCATATAGAACAAGTAATCTTGTTATAATGCATTCGAACATACTCATATAATTGCTAACGAAGCGGAAGTTTTAGTCAGTCAAGGTAAATGACGGACTTAATCTTGAACGTTGTTTTAACCAGTTCGTGAAGGATAGATGCATACGAACATATAGTTTTTGTCTTTTATTAAAATCTTAACGAATGGACTAAATTTTATAACATTAGTTGTATAGATCTTAGTAAATAAATGAGGGAACGTCTTGAATGTTTCACTGACATGCAAACGAGGACATTCCTACAATGATTACTTATTCTTAGTTGTCGAAAGTTTGAAATTCTTTTTCGATTTGCTCTACTATCATTTAGATTTAGTTTATCCTCTGATTTATGATTTATTAAGGGGCACCTGATGGTCGTGCTCACCAAAGTGTCTGCTTTGTTGGAATCAGCAATCAAAGTTTAGTTGGAACTCCACTGTTGTGATGGGCGTTGTCCAAAACGTGATACTGATACATCATGTACTACGCGCCAATCCTCCAAATGACTAATTTAGCGAAAACACAAGAGTGAGCTTGAGAGTATATTCAGCTACCGAATAAAATGCACAAATACTCATTAATATGTATATAACTCTACCCCTTAGGAAATTAATCCATTTCTTAGGCAATGAAATGCACTTGTCTTTCAGGTCACTTCTAACTACCATCAATTAACCTTCTCATCAGGCTACTGCTGATTAGTTCACCATATCATCCGCTTATCAAATCGAGTAATGTTGCAGCTGCAAATTTGATGTGTCGCTTATGTTGATGAAGTATCTCAGTCTTTTATTATGCTGATTCCGTTCGTAGAATCTAGCACAGCTTTATGTCGAACATGATTATGTTCCTTTATTTGCTTTGCAATGAATTTATATTTCAGAAGGGGTTTTGTGGATATTATAGTAATTTTAATAGTTGAGACCATGAGTCAATTGAAGCTAGACCACCATGGAAAACCTGGAAACACTGGACAGCTGTTTCACCCCATTGTGGGTCTCCTCAACAGTGCGCATCCACGATCCCGCCTCTCGGGGTTCGAACCCAGGACCTATCAGTCTCGCGCCAGGCGCTTAACCAACTAGACCACTGAGCTAGCATCCAACGATGTTAATGTCTAACTTCAACTAATCTACGAAATTGAGCGACACATCCACCACCATCACCGCACAACTGTCCCGGTTGAACTCCACTGGTCACTACTTCTCACTAGAACTTCAGGATATATCTCTTGATATTAATTTTTTTTAAAATATTTTCTTTAAACAGTGGCATATACTTAATCATACAGAATTTATTGTGATAAAGACATTGTCATTTTCATGGTTTGATTTAATCTTGTGATTCTCTTTCTTATGTTTTTGTTGTTATTCCGTTCAACTCTCCTTATGAACAACTGCAAGGTGTAAACTTTCAGTTTTTTCATATCTCTTCATCTTAGACTGATTTGTTGTCCAAACCTTTATAGGGACTTATTTCTTGACTATCCGAATAGTAAAATAATTTTCCTTATTTTAAACTTATCTTAACAATTTAAGTATGTCGTTTAGATGTATATTATTTGTAGCTCATGTTGGGAATGTTGAATATATTGTATATTCTGAGTGTTAGTTGGTTGAGTTGTAAAGTTATTATTGTCCTTCAGAGAAACATTATCAGTATGTAATTAAAAGAGAAATGAGCTATTGAAATCTCTTCATAATTAATTGACACCTTAATCTGTTGACCTGGAACAATCAATCCATTTTTAGGTTAACACAGCAAACTGTTAATTATAAAGAGATTGTAGTAGTTCATTTTTCTTTCAAATGCATCATGATAATGTCGCCTTGTAGACAATCAAAGCTTTACAGTCAAACCAATCAGCACTCAGATAACACAGTACCGACAAGACGTATTTTTTACTCAATTTTATAAAACACTTGTAACGTTTCATGAGAAAGTATAATTGTCAAGAAAAAAATATTCTTGTAGTTTCCTGGGTTATTTCATCTATTGTTTTATCTCAACTATTGTGTTTCCACCTCGAGGCTTTCTGGGGTTACTGCCGGTTCCAAGCCCGGATGAAGGAGGTGGGCTGGGTATGGGGTTATCGACCCCATACCGTAGAAAAATAACTCGCTAAAAAACACTAGGCAGAAAATTGTGTTTTTGTGTTTCAAATAAATTTTTAGAAGATTAAAGGTTTGAAAAGGTGTTTGTATACATCAGCTAACCACATTATTCATCTGTGCTCATCATCTCAGGTTGGAATACATATATCGATTGGAAATTTCAGTTGATTAAAACAAGAGATGGAATGTGTTTGAACATATCTGATTGAAACAAATGTTTATTAGAGCGAATGGTGTTTAGCTATTGTTTATTTAGTCACAAATATATTACTAATAAAAACATCTTTACAACACTTGAATACTTTGTATTTTACTTTCTATTCGTGTTTTAAGTCTTTTTCTGAAGATTTGTCTTCTACTGTTAATTGTTAACTATTGATCAGTGAGCTATGAAGTAGTGGTTAAGTACTTGACTTTGAATTAGTAGGTATAACGTTTGAACCCATGTGCTCCATTTACTCTGGTTTGAGCATTTGAATAACATGACTAGCCTTCGTACAAGCAATGAGGCTCAAGACCTGCCATAACAAACAAGGTACAGTAATTAATCAGTGACGTTTACTAACTAATAGGTTGTAATTATCAGATCGAATTATTAACTCATTTGTTTTAATTTAACTTGTAGAAGAATCTGTGCCAGTGATATCAGTGATCTGTCTGCTTAACTGCATATGCAACTGATTAGAGCTTAAGTTCACGGTGTAAATGTCCATTGTTGGAAATACCTTGGGCAACCCTACAGTGTCATTCTATTGAGTGTTTAATGTTACTAATATCGTCCTACACATTACAATCTTACCTTAAAAAGTGTATAATTTGGTGTGTACTTATGTCTCACTTTAATTGTGCTATATTCTTTGTTATATAATTTCGTTTTCTTTTCTGTGTGCGAATCAAAACGTATCACTTACCTATGCTCATGTGCCATCTCCAGAGCAAACCGTAGGTCGGAGTTGACAAACAATGCATTCTATTGGGTAAGGCTCATTATGTGGTTAAGATTTTAGCCTATATGTTGTTGTCTTAGGTCAGAAGGATATTTGCATATATGTACCAATAATTTTAGCATGCAGTGTTCCATTTGCCAATTACAGTTTCTCAGTCTCCTAGTCTAGGTTGGATAAATGAATTAGAAGTGTGTTTATCTGTAGTTGAATCGGACAACTACAGAACGCAACAGATACTTCTTGAATTAACAAACTACTACGGAGTCTTTAATCTTTGTCGAAATCAATACATCGTTGAATTTTGTTCTCGTAGTACATGATTATTTGACACAGTTACGCTGGTTTTAAATTCCTTTGTTTTCGTTTTAGTAATTACTCAATACAGACTAATATGTGTTTTAAAATCAGTGTTTTCTATGATCGAAATGTGTTTCGCTCAATATTTTCTTATTCTTCAATTCATTGATTTTTTTAATAGTTTTCTTGTATACCATTTCAATTACTTTGTTCCTTTTTTTAGATTGCTATGGGTATACCTTTACATCGTATCAAAGATATTCGTGAACTTTATCTAGCTTCTCCATGGTCTGATTCAATTATTGACTTTAATGATTCAACTATCAATCGTCGTCCACCTAGTTGCTATGTCATTGCTGCTCGTATTACAAGTGAAGACCCTGATGAAGGCTTTAAACCACGTCCTGGTGGTGTGAGGGAATTAAATTTTCGAAGTAATCAATCAGTTTGGGGATATTTCAGTGTTAGTAGTGCAGGTGGAATACATGAATTTGCTGATTCCCAATTTGGTCATATATTCTCAGCAGGTGAGAATAGAGAACATGCACGCGAGTACGTTTAACAAATACATTTATATTTAATATTTGTTGATTGATATCAATGATAAATATAATAAAACCATCTTAATTTATGAAGTATTTCCAATACTTGTTTTGAGTTGAATGGTTAAAAAATCAAGTCAGTAACTCACTAAACAAAGTATCCTTAATAAAGTTTTCCCTATGGAGTATCAATTAAGAAATACTCCTCAGTCGATATTTCCCTTTAACCGCTATTCAAGTAGTTTTTATAAACTTTGATTTCATTGTTACGTAGAGTTGTAACGATATTTCATTGTAATATTACCATGGCAAACAATAAAACTATTTAACACTATTACTCTTTGAACATATAAACACGATTTTAGACTTTTAGTAGCTACAACTTCACTAAACCCTAAATGACTAAAGTTCGATTTTTCGTTAATTTTTCCGAATCGTTTTAGTGTGTCAACTTGACATCCTTTGTCAATATATCCATCTGATCTTGGACGTTTTACAACTTGTCTCTGAAATTGAATTTCGGCCTTTATGTTGGGGACGTTAACTCCCCAGAACTCACTTGAAAAACGACCTAATTTTGTAATTTTATTTAGAAAATTTGAGTTTCTTTGTTTTCGCGCCAAAAGCGCTCTTGTCACCTTCATCTCGTATTTCCCACTGGGAAGTATCTTAAATGGTATTGGTCCGTTGCGTCTTTTAATATGCTATTTGGTAACTCTCCTTAAGGACGGTTTTGTACTGTATATATACGTTTTGAATTGTGTTTGTTGTTATCGCTCGTTTCTGGCTGTTTGCAGAATATACTTCCCCATTCCAAGCTTGGACTTCTCTCTCTAGTTAGCAGGACTGGGACGCATCAATAGCTAGCTTATTGCTCTTTGGTCACCGATTTTTGTTTCTCGTTCGCAGATTAAGTGAACTCGTGACAGCTTCAACCCTAGCACTTTATTTATGTTTTGCCAATGTAACTGTTGTAGTAGGTAAATGTAAATTTATGTAGTCACTTGGCAGTATGACATGAAAAACATACCTATCAATATATATATATATATATATATATATATATATATATATATATATGTATAGCTTCAGTAAAGAATTGTAGGACATGTCCTGGTTAATGTAGTATTAAATCTTCTGTTGATTTTCCCTATAACACTTTTATCATTGAATTTAAATTAAATAAAAATGGCTATTATCAGTTTAGGGGTTGTGGAGATTGTTAAGTTTTTGATTGAGATAATGAACCGATTGATGTTAGACCACCATTGAAAACCTGGGAGCACTGGACGGCCGTGACCAGTGGAGCTAATCCGTATCGGGTAGAAACAGGTGTCTACCTCAGTACGATGGAAGATGGTCGCACAATTTCGTGGATTGGTTGAGGTTAGACATTAAAACTATTGGATGCCGGCCGGCTCAGTGGTCTAGTAGTTTAAGCTTTCGCGCTTGAGTCTGAAGGCCCTGGGTTAGAATCCCGCGAGTGGGACCGTGGGTCCGCACTGTTGAGAAGTCCCACAATAGGACGAAATGGCCGTCCAGTGTTTCCAGGTTTCCATGGTGGTCTAACATCAATCGATTCATGATCTCAATCAAAATTGGTTATTTCGTTTACTATAGTTTTTAAAAGTTTCGTAAGTTCACTTTCTTATAAAATGTATTTCGATACCCTTTGTTGCGCAATCCTCTTCTAATACTCATTATTTCAGCTTTTATGTAAACAGTATATTTTATTTTCTGTTCTATAGGATATTGTTTTTACTAAGGCCTTTTTGTGACTGTTTACTATGGAATGTAGAAGTGATATGTAGTTCTACTTTCTTGATATTTTGATATATTGAACTGAGAAATTGGACAGTGGTTTAGGAAAATGTAAAAATCGTACACCAAATACATTATTTACACATCTTTGTTGAATTCTCTCTTGTAAGCCTCATTGTTCCTTCATTTCTATTGTTATATTGGTTACTTTCAGTTTCAGTTTCTCTTCTCTCCATTCAAATTTTCTGAACCTTCTACTCGCAGATATTGTACTTCCGACTGGTGTAACATACTACTTATATCTGCAAACACAAGTAGCATGCACCACACTATTGCGACTACTACTATTTCTATTGTGAAGGTCACATTGATGAGAGAGATGTATAAGAACTTACGGCTGATTCGACATTTTATAAAATGATTTATTAACAATATCGTTGGTTTTAATTCATAAATAGTTTTCGAGTAGCGATTCTACTGAGCACTGTATATGTACTATACATGTAGTGTAATATTTGATTACCAAAAACTTCGGAAGCATTGGAATGTTTCCTGTAGTAGATCCTTACCTATTATGAAATAAATTCATTTATTAAACATTTACATAATCCCTTATACAAATACGTAAACTGTCATGCGAACACATTTTCGGGGCTCTTCATAACCTTCTTTTCATTATTTGATAGAAAAATTTAAAGTTTCGATTGCTTTTAATTCTTTTTTTACCTTTGATTAGGAATATGGTTCTAGCATTGAAGGAATTATCTATTCGTGGTGATTTTAGAACTACAGTTGAGTATCTTATCAAAGTAATGGAATCTGAAGCTTTTATGAATCACAAGATTAATACAGAATGGTTAGATGCACGAATAGCACAAAATGATCAAGTAAGATAGTTATTGTTAGTGTTTTACTTAAGTATGACGTCTTTAGTGTATTGGATTTAAAATTCATACTGTTTTACTAAATAGTTGGCACATATTCTAAGCAGTTTGGTTAGGTGCAAATACTCTGGTTCAGATCCATACAAACGTGATCAATAGTTAGAAATATCCTATCTTCCTGTGGGATACGTAATGATAGAATGTTATTGTGACATTGTAAAAAGCCTCCATGACCTCCTGAACAAAGTCTGTAGAATCTCTAAATAGGTCAAAAACATTTCATTTCCCGAATTACACATTGAAAGCTTGAAATATTAATTTCTTAGGCAATTACTAGACTCCCATAATCTACGATACTTTGACCTTAAAGGGAACGGAACAAAAATGTTCTGAAGTTTTCATGTGATTTTGTGACTTGAAAATCTCTTAGTGAAACGAAAGCTAAATTTACCATAACGTGTATTTCTTGACCATTGAGATAAGGAAAAAAACATGATGAGTTTGTCGATAAATTTTTTTGAGAACTTTAAGAAGTGATTGACTTATGGTAAATATGCACATCTTCATCGCTTTTTTAGAGCTCTTTAAAGAATTACAAATATCTATTAACTCCCTTGAGTTACTATGTCTCTCTGCTCCATATTTTCTTCCGTTGCTATATTGCTACCATGAAGTGGAACAATTGTTTAAGTATTCAGAATCCACTCACTGAATCTTAGGTTGGAACCTTGCACTATCTTTTTCGGCTTTGACAACTGGTTAGTATCAGTAACCATCACATGTAAAGTGTGGCTAGGACTAGAGTACACTACTCTGCACCATCTTAAATAAGTTGACTGTTGTGAATATTATACCTTTTTAAAAAAAATATGAAGACATTGACACATTTTTTCATCGTTTTTCATTTAAATCTATTTTTTTTTTATCTGGCTATATTCTCATAAAATGGGTAAGTAATAGTGAGGATAGACGCAAGGTAATATGGAATGATAGTAAATCAGTTGATGAGATTGTAAATCTTCATCGAATGTGATCGTCAGACTGCTTGTTACGTATATACCTAAACACTGATTACCACGACGCCGCAACGCTCACTAATTTTGGGGATAGTTGGATGGAAGCTAAGGACACTCTTTGTACTTTCCCTTAAACCATGAGATTATAATTACTTTATACTTTTCTTTTAAATTCTTTCTTCCTGTACTATATCCTTATATGCGATCTTTCCTTTATAAACTGCAATCATGAAAGTAGCTACTTATATGAATTTGATGTTCATTTTATTGTGCTAATGAGTAAGGTGTAGCAACTTGAACCGATGCATATATGTACTTGATCCTACATTGTAGCTGATTGAATAACTGATTAATATGCATATCATTCTTTTTCAACTACCTATTTCACTTCAATATCTTCAAGTTGATCTGTTAATATTGATTTAAACTGTTTATTGTTAACATTATTATCTTAGTAAACTTGTATTAAAACTATCTGAAAATGGATTATTATTATTATTATTATTATTATTATTATTATATGTTTCTCCTTGTTAAATAGGTTGAAAAACCAGATATTCTACTTGGTGTTATATGTACTGCTTTACATATTGCAGATAACTGTTTAAAACAATTATTTCTTAATTATGAATTACATTTGGAAAGGTAAGAAAGTTTCAAGGTCACACTGCACAGTTACATATATATATGCAGATGCTATTGGTTACCTGTAGACCTGAAGGGGTTTACATGAATAAAATTGTTAAAACTGATCAATAATATGGTTGGTTGTATACTTCATAATGCTAATTGAATTCTATGGATCATCAGTTGTAATGTAGAGCAGAGCATTTACTTTCTCTAGCCTGCAGGCTTTCACATTGCTGATGAATCTCGACTGGTATTATATATAGGTTATATGGTTTTATGAACACTTTCCAATCATTTCACATGAAGTAAAGTTCATTGTTATGTTCAGTTTAGTAGATCGATTAACACAGGAACTTAATCGATATAGTTCGAACTGCACACTGAAGACTAGGCAGCTTGAGATTGCCAACTATAAAGTGATCAATTCATACATGAGTAATTGTGTATTTCAAAGCTTGTCAGTTATATAAAACGTGTGACTTTATTCTATTTAATTAATAAAGCTTGTCGATGTTCGTTATTTCTCCATACTCTTAAGATTCTAGTCATTTTGTTGTAAATGAAACTTGAAGGTATATAGATGTTTAGTTAGTCATCCAAAGTTTATTGGATACACAATTGATAAATTAACGTAGTCTTTATTCAATTAAATTATTGTATCATTGAAGAATTACTGTTTCATTACTTCTATCTAGAACTATAGACTTAACTTTAACATTATCCACTAGTCTTTTTATTGAAGCCTAGTATTTCAGAAGCATTAATTACAAAATATATATATTATATGTAATATATATGTTTTAATATTATGGACCACATTACACAGTTTTGAATGACTACATAGTAAAATATGCTTATCTTTTGTTTAACAAAGTGATGTTGTTTCTATTCCGTTGGTAGTTCAATTCGAAAGAAAAAAAGTTAAAATGCGACTTTTTTGTTATTAATATTTTGTCACACATTACGACTAATATGACTTCCAATATAAGCCAAGTTGTCAACATACATGACCATTTCATACACATCAGTCAGAACTTTATTTGTTCGAATGAGAAAAACAAATCTCAAACATTCTTATACCTTATCCATTTCATAATTTTATGGCTATACCAGTTTAAGCATTCAACCTTCAACTTTATAGAATAATAAGTTAAAACGGAATGATGCATATTAACTTAGTGTTCTTTACTTTATGAATGATATATATGCTGATAGTATCTTTTTCGAAGGATGCTGATTTGTGATAAACGTTTATTTATTTGGACACATAGATATTGGTACAAGGGGGCACCAAATACATATGCCACACCAATCTCATTTTACTTGTCTGAGGGCTATTATACTGCTCGGGTGCCCAAACCGAAGCATATGGTTTCTTTAGGAGGCCACACTCGGAGCCTTTGACCTGAAGATCTGATCCACTAGGCAATGGAGCAACGTAAGGAGATGCAGTCACATAGTAGCCGATAACCAACGATTGGTTCATACGCCATTTGTTCTTTCAGGATACTGAAGCCTATGTGCACCATTGGTTTGGAATGAGGGTTTTCCAACTCCCCTAGATGAATCCTACATATTCAACAACCCGGTTAAAGCGCCGGACATTCACTTTTCGTTCTGGTAATTTCGTAATTAATAGTAATGTCGCAAGAAGGCAGTGTGTAAGGCTTCTCGGGAAGTGGTTGTATGCACGTGGCCATGTGAGAGCGTTTGGAAAGGGAGAGCTGACTCTCCCTACTCTCGGCCATACCAGGTAGGGGGGCTGTGACAAACGTTTAACGTAGCCAATTTACTACTGGATAGATTTTTATGATGTTCATACTTCCTACCGGTCATTCACTTCAACTTCTATTGTTTTTGTTACTAATTTCTTTTAGAGGTCAATTTCTACCCTCAAAAACTCTGACAAATAGTGTTGATATAACTCTGGTATCAGATTCTACGAAATATGTTGTTAAAGTAACTGTTTTTTTTCTTCTTTTTTTGTAGTTATGTTAGATACTTTTAGACAATTAGTATCTTCATTTTTAGTATACAGAAAGAATTAACTTTTTTTTTATGAGTAGGTCAAGGTGAATGTGATGCTATCTAATTGAGACATGTCTGCTCAGACTAATGAATTATCTCAGTTTTAAGGACTTAATGTGAGTGAGTACACTACGGTTTATTGAAATTCAAGCTTTAACCGATGATCGTAACTCTATTTATGAATGTCGTTATCTTGGTAGGGAGTAGTTTGAATTAGAATAGTCAACCTATGTTGGATTTATGGATTTCATGTACTAATCACTCTTCGATCATTTTAATCTAAACATGATCACCATCAATTACTTATGTATAATTATTTTCTTACTTGTAATAAATATTTTGTCTGATCTACATCATGTCATATATGCAATAGTGTGAGGTAGTTTCTGTTCCTAACCGACGTCAAATCCGCATCACTCAGTATCATCTAATGAAAAAGTGATTATTGAGATATTCCTGCCATAAACTATTTCCTGTAAAACCAAGATATTGAAATCAACTCTTCATTGATTAGTAGTAACAAATTTCATGTTTGTCTATTGCTTAGTACTGATTTAATTCTATTTATTAGGTTAACTTCATGTCTACTGTTTCTTATTACCGAGTACGTTTTTTTGTGATATCGTGTTTTATATACTTAGGTCTTACATACTGGACCATCGAACTTTAGTCTTATCTGTTGTGATACTGTATCAGATTTTGAAGTGCATCGTGTGCCTGGTGATGGTTTATTAATTTGTCATGAAGCTGCTAGCTATATGACTTATTGTCAAGAAGAATCTCAAGGTTACCGCACGGTAATTATCATTCGTACGATGATGTTGTGTAAAGAAACTGATCCAACTATTTTACGGTATGTTTTGTGATTTCAATAAATGTTTGTGCATGTTTTTGATTTTTATTAACATTGAGAATTGAAACCTTAAGCTAGTTTTATAACAATGTAACTTATCTGGGTATTATGGATAGTAGACTAGCTTTGATGATACGCACTGAAATCTTACTGTTCATCTATATTTTATTATACCCTCAAATGCTTCGGTACGGCCGAGGGTGGAGATAGTCAGTTCTCCCTCTCGAAATGCTCACACATGTCCTCGCGTATAAAGCCATTGTCAGGGAAGTTTTACTCGCGGCCGCGGTGTTGTTTACGAAAATGAAATGACGACAAGTGAATATCTGACGCTTTAACTGGGTTGGTTGATGTGGAGGGTTCACTTAGGGGAGTTGAAAAACCCTGATTCTAAATCAATGGTGCATATTAGCTCCAGGATTTTGAGAGAACAAAAGGCGTATGAACTTATTATTGGTCGTAAATTGAATGATTTGTATGGCGCATATGTATTTGGTGACCCCTTGTACCAATGTCTATGTGTTTAAATAAACAAAAATATTATTTCATTTCAAAACACACTTATGGTGTGAAATAAACGCCTTAAGCAACAAAGTATGTTATCATTCATGATGTACATCTCCAACAAAGTATGTAATACTTTGAAAACTCATCAGTGTCAAAGTTTATTCTGAAGGGATTTTCTGCATCGACAACATGATTATATTGAGATTTCCGTCAGTCTAAATATATTGGTTGTTGAAGAAATCTTTATATCGGTGCGAAGCTCAACTTAGCTTTTGTTCGTCCACTCTTCACTTGAGAGACTACCAAAGAGTAAGAATACTGTTCATTCGTTTCTTGTATATTATTGTACAACTTTGAGGCGTGTTTTTTTTAAAGAGACTATCTTTGGTTACATGTATTTTATAATGTTTTCACAAAGCACTGTTTTTTTAAATTGTAAAGAATGTTAATCTTAAGTGTAAAATGTCAGGTAAATGGGATAAGTCGGTTGTTGATAAGGCACGTATTACGATATTTTGTGAATTTTAATTGCATTAGACGTTATTTTCTCCACCTGCTCTGATATACTACTTTGCAGAAGATTATGATAGTATAAGCGAATGGGTGGAAAGATGACGACAGAACGTCATTACATGAATATGTTCGACGTTCAAACCTCATTCCAACTTCAATTCGAAGAGTTGGGAAATATTATTCCTTAGATAAATAGTGTCTCTCAAAAAACAAGTGCATAAATATTTACATATTAGATATGTAAACTGATGTTGTACTTATGATACCTACCTCAATTCATTTATCCACACTACTGTTAAACAGTAGATTGTATAATTTCGTCATTTCATGCGAGATATAAACACTCCCATTCAGCCATAAAAAACAAGACAATTTAAGTAATGTCAGCTTAATTGTTATTGAAAATTTTTCTTTTGCTTTGTATGTACTTTCATGTTAGTATGTTATTCATGACATTCTTGCTACAACATTACATAATTTCATATTCTAACTAGATCTCATTCTGCTGGAAAACTTCTTCAATATTTTGTTACTGAAGGATCACATGTTTGTGCAAATGAAGTATATGCTCTTATTGAAGTAATGAAAATGATATTTGAACTATGTGTTCTAACATCAGGTTTTATCATTTTGAAACGTGTTCCTGGAGCTATTCTTGAACCTGGTACTGAATTGGCTCGTATTGAAGTAGATAAATCGAGTCAATTGAAACCTTTACAAATATTCAAGTTAGTTGATATTATCCATAAATAATGAAAAAGCTTTATCACTGAAAAGACATTTTGTATTATTACTTATGGAAATCACTGCTCTAGTTTTTTATTTTGTTCAAGTTTTTTGTTGCTGTGCGAGAAATGCTTAGTAATCTCCAGATGGAATCACACTGACAAGTTGATTAAGGAAAGCAATGTACAAGATCTTATTAGTGAGACTATAATTTATGGATGACCTTTGAACTACGCTAGACTGATCTTTAGAGCGTCCTTGTTAATAACCAGGACTATATGAGAATTATAAACTTGTGTGAGGAATTAGAATTAGAATTTACAGTTGATGATTAACTTTAGAAATTAGATTTTGGGTTTTCATCACGAATTGACATAAGTTATAATGCCAAAATTTTATTTATCCTAGTGGATGAATGAACATCGCGCCAAAATCTAAGACCTGTTATCTTATATGTGATTGCTTCGTCTGTAAATTATAGTCTCGTTGTAACAGGTTTATTCTTTAATGAGATTTCAATGTGTAATGCCATTTATCTTATTCGATGGAGATCCGAATACATTATAACACATCATTCTTTTTGTTATTATTTTATATTCATTCATACTGTAAAATTCAATAAGAAAAACAGTCCTATTACCATTTCAACGTTTGACAATTGTCATATTGGACGTGACCTGTTGATTTTCGTTTCAATAACCAGTGTATTTATATCTATACTATTTATATAGATGCCCTGATACGGCCGAGAGTGAGGGGAGAGTCCGCCCTCCCTCTCCGAATACTCTCAGATGGTTACACGTATATAGCCTCTGCCAGGGAAGTCCTACTCACTGCCTTCTGGTGGCGGGGGTGTTGTTTACGAAATTGAGAGGACGAATGTCCGGCGTTTCAACCTGGTTGGTGGCTACGGAGGATTCACTTACGGGAGTTGAAAATCCCTGATTCCAAACCAATGTTGTACATGGGCTCCAGTACCCTGAGGGAACAAATGACGTATGAATCAGTTATTTGTCACCGGCTACCATGGGACTGCATCTCCTTACGATGCTCCACCACCTCGTGGATTAGACCTTCAAGTCGAAGGCTCCGAGTGTGACCATCTAAGGAAACCATTTCCTTCGGTTTGGGCACCCAGGCAGTACACAGTCTTCACACGTATCAAATGAGTATTGTGTGGCGCATATGTATTTGGTGCCTTATTGTATGTGTTAAAATAAAATAAAATATTTATATCCATTACATAAATAGTTCCATATATTTATAATTAAAGCTTTAAAACACCCTTAATCAATATTGTATCTATTATAGGTCAATAATAATTCTGTTTACATTTGACAATATAACGTAATATAAATTAAACAAGATTATATTGATGATTATTATCACAGTAATGTATTCATTTTTAGCTGTGAATCTAAAATCTATAATTAACATATAACAGTCCTAATGTAACTTACAATTCGCTTGATAATATAGGTACATTTATTGTTATTGTTGTTATTGTTTAACAAATGATAAAATAAGGTATAGTGGTAGTCAAAACTAATTAAGTTAACATTAATGGTACCATATAATGTTTGTTCTTGTTTTTTTTTTAAAAAAAAAAACAAAAGTAAAAGAAGAACAAGAAGAAGAACTTATGTTCTTCTTTTCATTAAAGTCTGTGTAAAATATCACAACAAACAATTATTATTATATTTACAAAATTGATTTAAAATAACCAATTTACACACATTATTACTAAGATTGGATTATTCTTTTTGTTGTTGTTGTTGTTCGGATTAATAAGTAATATCAATACTTAGATAGGTCATTTCATGTAGTAAGCCTTAATCATCCATTGGTAATACTTACTTTATTGAATCAAACGATCATCTTCAGGTCAACTTCATATACAATATTCATGTTGATGTGCATACAATCGTCGATAGGTGTTTTATTCAATTATTGTAATTAACTATAGAAATCCAATCTTTGTCTTGTATATAATGTCCTGATACGTCCGAGAGTGGGACGAATCAGCTCTCCCTCTCGAATTGGTCTCATTTGGCCATGTGCATATAATCACTGATAGGGAAGTTTTACTCACTGCCTTCTCGTGGCGGGGGTGTTCTTTATGCAATTGAGATGACGGAAAGCGAATGTTCGGTGTTTTAACCTGGATTCGGAGGATTCACTTACGGGAGTTGAAAATCCCTGATTCCAAACCAGTGGATCCTAACGAAACAAATGACGTATAAATCAGTTATTGGTCACCGGCTACCATGGGATTGCATCTCCTTATGTCGCTCCACTGCCTTGTAGGCCAGGCCTTTCGGTCAAATGCTTGGGGCGTGGCCTCCTATGAAAACCATCTGGTTCTCTTTGGGCACTCGGGTAGTATCATATCCTCCACACAAATCAAATGAGATTTGTGTGGCGCATATGTATTTGGTTCCCCCTTGTACTGACGTTTGTTTTTAAACAAAAAAATAAAACTTTGATTCTTATTACCAGCATCTCTTTAGCTAGAATATTCCTCATCTATCGTATTTTCAACATTTCTTTTAACATGTAACGAAAAATTTATAACTCATATGTATGTGTTCATAGTGTTGTTGCATTCTCTAAGCTAAATGATTTGATTGCGTAATCTTTATTTTTATTCTGAACAAAATATTAAACGCTTTACTTCAACAATTATCGAGTTGTTTTTTTTCTTAATTACTCCAGTGACACTAAATCAATTCATTTCGATGACCTTATGATTTGTAGCCGAGATTGTGGATTTAGGAAATTTTAAGTATGCTATGACAGTTTCTAGAATTACGACGTTCATGTCGATCTTCGTTCGATATACATTTTGAGAAAGATCCAGTTTATTGATCTATATGGAAAAATTCGATCAATCTAACTGACAGAGGTCAACGGAATGGAATGTTTACCGTAAATGCTGTGATACATGAAAACAACAAACCTATGAAAACATGTTATATATACAATATCACAAGAACGATGGCTTGATTTGGAGTTTATGGAAATTTCTTTAAAGTCACTTCTACAGTGATATAGTTGTCTAAAAGAACAATACAAGGCTCATGATCGAATTAAGCAACTGACAGAGCTCAACTCCACTAAAAAACACTCATATGTTCCCTCCGTCTGTTGATGCAGATATCATATTCTGAGCTTCGTAATGTTATATTAGTTTAAACTGTAGGGATAAAATCCCCAAGTATTACATAATATATGTACTTCAAAATAAGTAATATCATCCTATGATGTTTTTCAATTGAGTCACATTTTTAACTAACTTACATACGCCTGTTACTCCCAATGGAGCATTGGCCGCTAACCAGTATTCTCCAACCTAGTCTGTCCTACTCCTTCCCTTCCAGTTCTGTCAAAATTTTGTTCATTTTCCTTATGTCTATCCCCATTTCTCGGTGTAATCTGTTCTCTGGCCTTCCTCTTTTCCTTTGACCTTGAGGATTCCATGTGAGGACTTGTCTTATGATGCAGTCGGGTGCTTTCCTCAATATATGTCTTATCCACTTTCAGTGCTTCTTCCTGATTTCTTCCTCCATTGGGATCTGGTTTATTCTCTCCCACAATAGGTTGTTACTGATAATGTCTAGCCAACGGATCCGAAGTATTTTGCGTAGACAACTGTTACTAAGCACCTATATATTCTGGATGATGGCTCTCGTAATTGTCCAAGTTTCCGTCCCACACAGTAGAATTGTTTTGAGATTTGTATTGAAAATCCTGACTTTGGTGTTGGTTGAGAGTTGTTTTGAGTTGCAGATGTTCATCAGTTGTAGATGTGGTGCTCTTGCTTTACTGATCCGCGCTTTCACATGTGCATCAGATCCATTGTATTCATCAATGATGCTGCCCAAATATGTAGGGGGTTTTACATCTTCCAAATCATCTCCGTCAATTGTGATCGGATTGGTGCATGCTAACGCTAACCAAAGTCACAGTTAGTTTTTTTTCTACAACACAAATTGTGCATTTCATCGTATATCGTTTTATTTCATAATTTATTTCACTTGCCTTTTGTTTCTTAGTGGTCCCTTCACTTTACCTACTGAATATAGTAGTGATATTAGTCAATCATCATCATCATATTCTCGAAAATTATTGTTTCTTCCACAATCTAATATGGTTTATTCATCTACAAATAATATTTATCAATCATCTACACAATCAATTGAAGAGATCAAATCAAATATTCCTCAGCATTTAATTAATGATTGGAAATGTCTTAATACAAAATCACATTGTCTAATTGATTCATTATCATCTAATAACAATGGTATTAGTACTGGATTAAATGACGATTCAATGTGTATACTTACGAATTCATTATCATCGAATTCAACTTCTTCAACTACAAATGGAAAATTACATTTACAATTTACTCAATTATTAGCATCATTAGAACAAATTTTGTTTGGTTATTGTTTATGTGAACCATATTTTAGTAAATCATTAATGAAAACATTAAATCAATTTCTTACATTGTTATATAATCCACGTTTACCACTTCATGAATTACAAGTTAGTTATTGAAATTTTTTTCCTTGGTTCATATTTCACTACACACTACTACACTACAATGTAGGACCAGGCACATATATGCGTCGGTCCAAGTTGCCATACCTCATTAACACAACAAGATGAACACCCGATTCATAAAAGTAGTTAATTCAGAGGTGGTAATATATAAAAGAAAGATTGTATATAAGGATGTAGTACAGGAAGAAAGAATTAGTTGGTAGAAAGAAAGATATGAAGCGACTTTAATCTCTTAGTTTAAGGGAAGACAGAATGTGAATACACCGACGCCATTGTGATCGATTCTGAGCCATGTCACCAAGAGTCTTTAACCATTGATTACGATAGTCTCGTGGATCACAATCAAGTAGTCTGTATCTACCAACATGGCTCAGACTAGAAATTAATGTCTTCAAGCACTGATGCCATGTTTTGATTTGTCCGCCCCTAACTTTTTTCCAACAATCATTCCTTAATACCCTGCGTCTAACCTCAATATTACTTTATTACTTGTTGAATATCTCTTTCATTGTTATAATAATTACGTCTTTCATCAGGGTTAAAGTTTAAATTCACTAAGTTGTTGAAGGAAACATTTGACTTAGATTCCGCATTAGTTGAGATTGATCAACTTCGAGTTTCTTTAGTCTTGATGGAACTAATGTTTTCCATGAGATTCTAACCGAATTCAACGATCAGGGAAGTTACCACTCACTGATTCCTGTCGTGATTTTGCTTCATGTATGACAGAGATATATCTACATTGATAGATCATTGTTCGGTAATTATTATTATCACGTTTATTAGATCTTTATTACTGATCAAGTTGTAATGTGTTCACTAATTAAAGTGTCTCAATATCTCGTGCTCTACATTATGGTTTAAAGTCGGTTGAAAGAAAGAGTGAATGAACATTCGGTTGCGGACAGCTAATTTATTGTTTATTACAAAATGACAGTGTTGATTGTTAAAATGCGACAATCATACATTAAGCGCCTAATTTGTGAATCTTCCATCAGTTATCCTTTACATCTTTCATGATTCTTTCAGTTCTCAATTCGTTTTCTAATTTTCTTCAGTTCAATCTTCTCAACTTTTAACAAGCATTCTACTTTTGATCGATGTTACATACTACTTATTTGGACAGACATAAGATTGTAATTATTAAGTTCAAGTCTTTATGTGTATAAGTTCAGTTAGTCAGATAATATTCAGTTAATTCCAATGTAAATTGTCAACCTTAACAGGAATAAATGTTTGTAATCTGTTATATTCAGTTCATTGTCATAATGTAATAACATATATTATATAGACTAAGGTTAATCACATTAACGTTATATCTATAGTGATTATCATAAACTGCCTAGATCAAAATATTATTGATCAATAATTGAAAATAACAAACTAAATTGAATTGTGCCAAAAACGATTGTATGTAATCTGTTAGTTATGAAGAGGATCATGGATCTATCTAAGTTAGGCCATTATCTCGAAGCTAGAAGCATTGAATGGCTGTTCCGTCCTAGTTATTAACCTCCTTATCGCTAGCGTATAGAAATACGTGTCGATAATATTGAATCGAAACAAATAATTATTGTACAATTTTGATAATATACATTTCCATTTTCATTGTATTCTAGGATACATTAGCACATTTAAAAGGTCAATTACCACCTAACATGGAAAAATCTTTACGTCATCATGCTAAACTATATGCAGATCAAGCTACATCTGTATTAGCTAATTTTCCTTCAGAAGCAATTTTACAAATAACGGATGAATATCTAAAACAAATTAATCCTGGACAATCAACAGATTGTTCTGTACTAGAATTTCAACGTATTACTCAACGTTTAATTGATTTAGCTGAACGTTATAAACATGGTCTTCGTGGTCATACTGTTCGTGTTATCTCTCAATTATTTATGGGTTATGTTGTGATTGAAAAACACTTTCAACATGGTTAGTGAAATTTATTGTTTTATTATTGTGCTATAATTAAAAATTATGTTCTCAATAATGAAGTCTATTGAGAATGTTTCCTATGAATTCGGTTTAATTTTCAATTTCTGTCTTCAAACTACTCATAATATTGGAGTCGATTATTTGCTCTTGTTATGATTTTTATCTTCAACAGAATTCTATACCATCCTATGTCCCCATTTTGCTTCTTTAATTATATTTGATAGTGATAATCTTATAAACGTATTCATTTAAAGTGAGATACTATTAATACTCACTTACATACGCCTGTTACTCCCAATGGAGCATTGGCCGCTAACCAGTATTCTCCAACCCAGTCTGTCCTACTCCTTCCCTTCCAGTTCTGTCCAAATTTTGTTCATTTTTCTCATGTCTATCCCCATTTCTTGGTGTAATCTGTTCTCTGGCCTTCCTCTTTTCCTTTGACCTTGAGGATTCCATGTGAGGACTTGTCTTGTGATGTAGTCAGGTGCTTTCCTCAATATGTGTCTTATCCACTTTCAGTGCTTCTTCCTGATTTCTTCCTCCATTGGGATCTGGTTTATTCTCTCCCACAATAGGTTGTTACTGATAATGTCTAGCCAACGGATCCGAAGTATTTTGCGTAGACAACTGTTACTAAGCACCTATATATTCTGGATGATGGCTCTCGTAATTGTCCAAGTTTCCGTCCCACACAGTAGAATTGTTTTGAGATTTGTATTGAAAATCCTGACTTTGGTGTTGGTTGAGAGTTGTTTTGAGTTGCAGATGTTCATCAGTTGTAGATGTGGTGCTCTTGCTTTACTGATCCGCGCTTTCACAAGTGCATCAGATCCATTGTATTCATTAATGATGCTGCCCAAATATGTAGAGGGTTTTACATCTTCCAAATCTTCTTTGTCAAGTGTGATTTGACTGTCGCATACTGTGTTTTATCGGAGAATATTGCTTTTCCCTTTTTGTATGTTGAAACCTTCTACTGCTGAATAAATTACAGTTGCACAAATTTATTCATTGATTCGCACTGATTACGAAATCGAAAGCAAAACTGTATTTTTTTTACTAATGTTTGTTCAAAAATATTTTGCAGTTAATATGCTAAACCCATTAAATAAAATAATTATGCACATTTTATTTTAGACAACTGGATACAATCGATAGTATACCCTGATATTTATATCTGTCTTAGTTAACAACACTTACCAGTTACTGATACTCCGCGTAGAATTCAGACTACAGTTTGTTCTACAGCCTGATGTATTACGAATAGATGTTTTCAACCATCTTACGTCTAAAAAAATATATCATTGATATTGTATCACATAGATCAATTGGTAAAGTAATCGATCGAATTTGATAATCACTAAGTATTAGATTACACAACATATCCTACTCACTTGGTGTTGTTTACTTGTATCATCCTATTGTTATTTAGGACTGTAATTGATCAGTCTCTTGTTGGCATATTTACATCTTGTATGGACTGCCTTCATAATGCCTGAAGACACAATCTTCATAAGTGAAGATGGATAGTGACAGATACATCCAACTGAGGAGTTCTAAATAGGACAAAACATATGTCCTGGATTCCACTGCTAGTCACTATCCATCTTTGCTTATAAATCTTGTGACTTCAGGTAATATGTCCTACTGCTGAATATCTTACATGTTTTACTTTTTTTTCAATTTTCAGTTCTTTTTGTATACACCATTGATTAATATTCAGTTATCTGTAGTTCGATTTTACATCTTTCAAAATTTTCGGCAAGACTCTAATTTATGGACGACCTTTGAACGAACCCTAAGTGACCTTGATAAATATTAGCCAGTCAGCAAACAGTCAGTGTAAAGTAAAAATATGTTATACAAAACCGAGGAAATAAAGTGGATACACTTCTTATACATGGCTCAAAAACATGTCAAGTTTAGAAAGAGGTTCCGAAGTTGTAAAATCGTAAAGCATACAGTTTAGGAAATCATTCATACGGCTATGACACGAAGCATATAATCAAGCCTATGTAGGAGTCTGTACGCTCTCCAAACATCCGAATATATTGTAGTACCTAGCTACAACCAGTTTTAATGGTACTTTTATTATCCAGTTCGCAATAATTGTCATAATTTACCTTAGTTAGGAATTATATATGGGGTTTTCATCACGAACTGACATCAGCCATAATACCAGAAATTTATTTAGCCAAGTGCATGCAAGTCTTTCACGTTAAAATCCGAGATCTGTTATCTTATAACTGATTGATTCGTCCACAAATTATAGTCTCGCAGTTTTATTTGTTATATCCACTCAATTATCACGTTTTGTACAAAATTGCCTATGAACCGATCGCACGTTAGCATTAAGCACTGAAGTTGGCGCCGTAACCTAGAAATCTCTAAAACGCTTCTGATTGGCTCGTCCGTAAATTAGAGTCGCGCCGAATTTTTTTTATATTCCCATACAGAATCTTAGTTAAAGGTTTTCATTTCAATTTGCGCATGTCAGCAATGAATTCCTACCGGTGTCCAATGATCATTTGATTTGAGTTCATGTTTGTTTTATGTGATATATATTCATCTATTCTCTAGAAATTAGTTGAAAACAACACTGATTTCCTTTGTTTTCATTCTTTTTTTTGTTGGTTCTACCTTTGTATAGCTAAACAGGCATTTTTTTAAAACCTACGTACAATTATCAATGAAAAAAAGTTGTTAAATATCTTATTTTACTTGTTGAAATCGTGAGTCGATAGAAGCTAGACCACCATAGAAAACCTGGAAACACTGAATGGTCATTTCGTCCTATTATGGGACACCTCAGCAGTGCACATCCACGATCCCGCACCTCTCGAGGTTTGAACTCAGGACCTATCAGTCTCGCTCTAGACGCTTAGCCAACTAGACCACTGAGCTGGCTGGCATATAACGATGTTAATGTTTAACTTCAATCCACGAAGTTGCTAAGCAGTCCCATACTATGACAAAACGGCCATCCAGTGCTTCCAGGTTTTTCATGGTGGTCTAGCTTCAATTAACTCATGATTTGAACCAGTGAAATTTCTAAAATCTTCACAAAACCCCTTCTGAAAATATCTTATTGTTTTTCTTGCATTCTTTCTTCTTCTTTTTGGTCAATTTATCAGGTCAATATGATAAATGTATTCGTCATTTATTGGCTAAATGTCAAGGTTCTACTTTATGGGGTAATGCACCAAAATCTGGTATATGTCCTGGTGAAAATACAATTATTGAAGATGATTTATTAAATAATCTTACTTATCATTTAGTTCCATTTAATTTTCGTAATTTAATTCAACCAAATTCTATGACAGATATTGTTTCAGTGATATTTTCACATCGACAATTAACTATGAAAAATGTACTCATTATTAATCTTATTCATTCATTAGCTGAAAGACGTGAATTATGTATGACTGATCATTTACAAAGTTGTTTAAAAGCATTAACTGAATTAGGTGGTTCAAGAAATTCTAAAGTGGCATTAGCAGCTCGTCAATTACTTATCTCTGTTCAAACACCATCATATGAATTAAGACGAAATCAAGTAAGTAATCTTTGAGTTTAAGTTATTATGTTCTTAGTTGTTATTCAAGTATGCAACGTAGTTTTTAGTGGGTCCTTCCCTTTGGATATCAATTAGACCGCACGATGTTATTGAAGGACTCATTACTTTAGTGGTCCAGGATCTGACTCCAGTTCGATTGTTATTGAAGTACATATATCGTCATTCCTCGTATATAATTATCGAATTAGATCACGCTAGTGAATAACGGAATTAAATAAACCGAATACAAGAATGGATTTTTTTGGATATTTTGTACAATCGTTGATCTAGACAAACAAGCGGAGAAACGAAGTGAAACGACGGATGGTGGAGAAGACGTGTTAGCCAAATCAATTTAATCAAGCGTTAATCAATATTTATAGTCACACAAAAATAAGCTACAAACATATGATGAATAGGATAAGAAGTGTGTACACATACATTCATATGAAAACGGTCATGGTTGATATATGAATAAGTGACAGGGTAAAAAATGTTACTCAAGAAAAATGAATAAATTGCCTTTGTCCGATAGCTAGAATAAGGTATATGAACTTAACATCATAACTGACACTACAAGTTCATCATGAGATATTGTTCTTCAATTGATAAAGAAAATGATTGTTATATGTTACGACTCGAGCATCTGAAAATGCTGAACTGTTTTTTCTCAGAAGAATTGGTTGTCTAACTTTCAATTATCTTAAAATTCAATTAATATCTAATTATCAGTTTACGGGTTGTGGATGTTGTTAAATTTTTGATTGAGATCATGAACTGATTGATGTTATACCACCATTGAAATCCTGGAAGCACTGGACGGCCGTTTCGTCCCATTGTGGGACACCTCAGCATTGCGCAACCATGATCCCGCTCGCGGGATTCGAACCCAGGGCCTTCAGTGTCTGGCGCGAACGCTTAAGCTCTTCCTGAGTGCTGTTAGAGGTATGAGGGTGGTTATCATTTCCAGGTTGCCCACACTATAGAAGGGTTCTTCTGGAGGTACCTGAAAAGGAAATTGGATTAGAGGTGGTCTTAGTGATCTGAGAGCGTGACCGCAGTGCCCAAGGGACAACTGGTTGAGATCGGTCACACACGACCTTTTTATGAGTAATTTTTGTGTTAATTCCGTACCTGTTGAGCCCGAGCACCACGTCAAGGTAGCAAAAACGGTCGGCTATATATATATATATATATTCGTTTAATTGAGCTGAGTATTTCTATTCCTTATTTCTGTGAATATTTTCTTTATATTTAATACAAAATATAAATGAATTCAATGTGAATTATTTTGTTATTAATCAATAAGTAAGACATTGTAAAAAGGAATGTAGATCAACGGATATTCAGATATGATATTAATCAATTCCAGTCATCTTTTATATCTATTAAAAGAATTTATTCACAATTATAGTTTACTTAGTTTATTATGTATTCTCACACTTAGTTACTGTTAGTGTTTGTTAAGCATAGTACAGTGATAACCAGAAAAAAAAAAGAGAAAAAGAAAAAGGAGTATGGACAATTCAAGCTACATAATAAAGTGTATAACTCATTGAATCAACCTTAACTATTAGATTTATGAATAAAACATTTTGTATGTGTAACTAACTAAGTGAATATTTTTTGTGTATTTAAGAAAGAAAAAAGAAAGTAAAACATGATATAGATTATTGACCTAAAAACATTGAATGAACCATTGTATTGTATATATAAGGTAATAGAGTTGATAGTTACTACATGATGAAAGAATTTTTCAAATAAAAATATGGTTGATTAGAATAAAAAGTTGAAGTGAATAGATATGAAAAAAGAGATTAAATTAAATAGATTGATTAACATTGGACATGTTCATTCTATTCAGTTGGGCCATATAGGTGTAACGTGAATTTAAAGGTAATAATGAACAATGATCATTTCATTATAATTACAATAAAACTATTCATATGCACTGATTATCATATGATTAAATAGTCAATCTATTAAATCAAGTTGAAGAAAGTATATTTTTAAAGTAGGTTTGATAAGTATAAATCTAGTAGTAATAGTAATATCAACTATAGTAGGTGATCGGTTTAGAATAGTCAGATAATTAGATATTAAGATCATGAACCGATTGATGCTAGACTACCATTGAAAATATAGAAGCACTGGACGGATTGGTTGAGGTTAGACATTGACACCGTTGGATGCCGACTCAGTGGTCCAGTAGGTTGCTACCTTGACGTGGTGCTCGGGCTTGCTTATCGTGATGAAGCAACCGAGCTATACTGGCTGCAACAACTCTTCCTCAACGTCCTACTATGTCAGACAGGTCGGTTGAAGAGCGGTAACACTAAAAACAGCAAACCGAAGGTCTGAGGGCCAAGTCATACTGCTGACAGTACAGAGGTGTGACAGTAGTAAGGTGTTTCCTTCAGACAACCAGCATGACAGCGACTCTGCCCTCCCACAAGTAGAAAAGCTCGACCCTAAAAATGCACACCTCGCATTATCCCATGAATATTTGTCTCTGGCGGTAAGGTCTCAACAGGTACGGAATTAACACAAAAATTACTCATAAAAAGGTTGTGTGTGACCGATCTCAAGCAGTTGTCCCTTGGGCACTGCGGTCACGCTCTCAGATCACTAATACCCCCTCTAATCCAATTTCCTTTTCAGGTACCTCCAGAAGAACCCTTCTATAGTGTGGGCAACCTGGAAATGATAACCGCCCTCATACCTCTAACAGCACTCAAGACCACTGTATATATATTGTTTATCATCGATGGTATTGAATCACCGTCATTTTTTCCTGAGACTATAGTGAACACAAACACCGGTGGGGACAATTGAATGCATTTGACACAAAATTGCAGGACTTATTAATAAAATCTAACAATCATGTAGTTAATACGTAATTTGTAAAATGTCTATCAATTGTCTCATAATGACTCAGACTTCATTGTTCTTGCATTTTCATACAAATTGCATTTTATTTCCGTTGTTTACTGTTCGATCCTCTTGTCTCTCTGTTGTCAGACCATCTGTTCACGACTAACATCATCTACTACTTATGTCAATATAAGTAGCACACACCCCAAACAATTGAATTAATCTTCAAAATTATGGTTAAATAGTTTAGTGTTAGGAATAATTAAAGCAGAAATTTATACATTTGTCTTTAAACTACCGTTTTACTGTAACATATTTTTATACTTTCTTATTCCTTTAATGGAAGTAGGTGAAGGAGAGGGATTTCGATTTAGTTATAGTTACATAATATATCCTTGTGGGCCAAAGTCATTTTACATTGGTTTTCAAGAGAATCAGACACTATCCAGACTTTCACGTGACGACCTAAACAATATAGCTCAATCCTGTTTAACAGGAAACCCAGACACCGCCCAGGCTTAAACTTTATAACCCAAGCAGTACAGTTCAATCCCACTTCACAGAAGAACTAGATACTAAATCGGCTTTAACGCTACAATCTGAATAGTACAACTCAATCCTGTGATGCAACCATACATATACCAAGCATCCTGGAGGATCATTCGCACCATTCATATACATATTCACGTCACATGTATAGTTATTCTGATCAATGATCGCGTGAATCAATTATGCACGATACGAACAGGCCAAAGTTGATCTATTCCGCTTACACGACAGTCATACTCATTGATGTTAGCAATGGCAACATAACTTACAATATACCAATGACAATAAGGTTTAAATCTGCTCTCTGTAAAAATGAAACACCGATATCTTCAACGATTTAACCAATCACTATATAATACGTTCACTAAATTGCCAAAATTACCTAGTTTTACTATTTAGCATAAATGCTCACTATTTAAGTCTCCTAAACTAATGCAAAACGATTACACAATACTCTCGTTGGTTCTGTAGCTTAGTCTGTACATATGTTGTGCTGAATCAAATTAGCAATAACCTCTTAAAATTCCTTTGAATAAATTTTACTATTAATTATTGTATTGTAAATATCATAATCAAATTATCTTACATTCATAATCAGTCAGTCAGCCAGTTACAACATAAGGTCAGGCACATATATGTATCTGTCCAAGTTGCCAGACCTCATTAGCACAGCAACTATGTGTTGGGGTGATCCAGAAATCGGTTTCAAAAGACAAGCAAGCGCCAAGAAACACTAAGTGTTTTGTCCAATCAACGTTCACTTGGAGTCTTGGCCAGAAATATCAAGGTAGCGAAACGTCACATGCGGAAGCTCTGATTGGTTGGCTACTACGGTGCTACTATGTTTAGTAGCATTCCAGAATATTTCAGCGACCCAAGAACACTTAAAATATTATAAAAACCATATATTTATTGTAATAGAATGAACCTTGGAGTGCAGTAATTTCCCTCATACTTGCGTCTTCTCTCTGGTGTTCAAGTCACTGTGTAGCCCTAGCTTGCGGGTTACCAGAATAGCTTAGGAAAACTAATATAGCTTTCAATCGATAAGACTTATCACCATGAGAGTAGAACAAACAGTTAATAAGGTTTGGACAATAGTAGACAAAATATTTGGAATGTACACAATATATGAATATTAACAACAACAAAAGAAAATCTTGATCGATAATGTCACAAAATTAGAATTACTTTTGTATGTTATATTCAATGAAACTATTTTTAACATAACAATATTATCTGAAATGATAATAAACTTTATGTCGGAAGGGTTTAATCAAAGCTAGACCACCATGGAAAACCTGAAAGCACTAGATGGCCGTTTCGTCTTATTATGGGACTCCTCAGTGTCAGTGCGCATCCACGCTCCCGCCCCGTAAGATTCGAACCCAGGACCTACCAGTCTCACGTGCCAGCGCTTAACTAATAAGTCACTGAGGCGGCCGGTATGCAACGATGTTCATGTCTAACTTCAAATAGTCCACGAAACTGAGCGACACATCCACACACATACTTTATATTTATGATTATTATATATTCTAAACTACGTTATGAATGGTGGATTTTTAAATTTTTTCTTTTACTGATGTATAAATGTTTGTAATAATTGTTATCTCAGAAATATTAATAATAATAATGATGACTGACGTGTATAAGTTTGTCAATCAGATGTAACTGATTTCCGTCTTGTTTTGTTTTTTCATTCTACTTATAGGTTGAATCAATTTTCTTGTCTGCAGTGGATACACTTTGTCAACAAGTACATCCAGAATTATTATTACAATTGATTAATTCTAAAACAGTTATATTTGATATTTTAACAGATTTTTTTATCATCCAAATCATACTGTGGCATGTGCTGCATTAGAGGTAAAAATTAGTATTTTTTTGTCTGTATCTCTCATTGTTCCATTCTTGTTTGTGTATAGACATACTATCATATTATGATTTCAAGTTCATTTGATTATATAATTATGTAGACCAAATCAGGTAGTTTTCTTAGGAGATCACGCCCCGAGCCTTCGACTTAAAGGTCTGATCCACAAGGCAGTAGAGCAAAGTAAGGAGATGCAGTCCCATGGTAGCTAGTGACCAACAATATGTTCATACCTCATTTATTCCCTCAGGATACTGGAACCCATATTCACAACTGATTTGGAATGAGGGTTTTCTAAGTTTCCTTGATGGATCCTACCAACCCGGTTAGAGCACCGGACATTCACTTTTCGTCCTCTTCATTTCGTAAACAACAGTAATGTCGCAAGAAGGCAGTGAATAGTACTTTCCGGGAAGTGGTTGTATGCACGTGGCCATGTGAGAGCATTTCGAAAGGGAGTGCTAACTCTCCCCGCCCTCGGCCATACCAGCGCATTTAGGGGCGATTGTAAAGTTAGGTACTAAATGACATATGAACTTCAGTATATCACCAAAAGATTGAAAGCGAACATCTATATTGCATCTTCTGCAAACATAACCGTCTTTATAAATTACATCTTAGTATAGAATTCCTCAGAAATGCGCATCCACGTTCCTGTATGTGGGACTGGAGTCCGGGGTTACTCAACATCATGCATTGATCGGAGCTAGACATTAACACCGTTGGATTCCAGCTCATTTGTATGGAGGTAATGCGTTCGCGTGCGAGACTGAAATTTCTGGGTTCAAATCTCGCATATAGGATCTTGGGTGCTCACTACTGAGGATGAAACGGCTTTCCAGGGCTTCGATTTTTGTGGTGGTGATCTAGCCTAGCTTTTTAAATACTACAATCTCTATAGATCCCCATACCGATAAAATTTTGATCATCTCATTTTCATCCATTCAACATAGTACATTTACTAATTATTCTTTCTCGCAACAGCTTTTGTATTGTAAAGGAATTGTCGAGAGTTTATGAAAGAACGTTTCCTAACTTGATGATTAGTGTCATGCTGTTAAACAATCAAACTGTTTCCAAGTAGTTGTCGATATGTCGTTTGATATTTTCTATTCGTTATCGACGCCAAAAACAAGTCAACTGACTCTCCAGCACACATCTTGATCTTTTGCACTTTTGGTTATCAGTCTTTGATTTTCTTACTTTATTCCTATATAGAATATAGCTATAGCATGTTTTTCCAGTAATAATATTCTATGTCAGTATTACAGTCACCAATCCTCTTAGTTAGAATTTCGTCCAAGGAGTTATTCAAGGGTTCGTAACATGATGAAATCTTTTAGTGTGTAGAATTCCAGTCTATGTCTCAATGTCGATATGTACGACTGTCCTCTCTAAAAGTCTGTTTAAAGATTTATACTACTGCTAAGTAGTTTAGAATGTTTCAAAATATTTGTTTACCATTCTGTCTTGAACACTAAGTAATGTTTAAAAAACCCACTCATTCATCAAACGTAGTCCTATTATTACAATTTATAAGTCCTCTTTATCTAGCATTTAAAGATTTTCGTCAATAATTACCAATAATTAGGAGAAGTTCATTTATTTCAGTAGATAATAGTTTTGGTAAGTCTTCTCTATCCCATGATGGTGATGAATAATTTGCAACTTACTCTATGTAACCAAATCAAACCAAGAAATGATCGTTTTATTGTCATCAAATTTAAATGCTTTAAGATTTCGATCAATCATCAAGTTTTTTTTTCTTCATGAACCCACCTTATCACCATTAAAGTGTCGTTGACTACAATTGTTAGTCAAACATTACTTACATTGAGTATTAGCAGAGGTGTGGCACCAGTAGAAATATCCAAAGATGTCAAAGTTTTAAATTTGTTAAATTTCGTATTACTAACTTTTATATATTTCAATAAACAGTCAATTACTTCTCAAAAAATTTCCTCTTTTATTCAAGGTTTATATTAGACGTTCATATACAGCATATGAATTAACCGGTGTTCATCATTTTCAATTATCTTGTGGTAGTTCATTCTTTACATTCAGATTTTTGTTACCAAATGAATTTGTTTCTAAGTAAGCGAATTTTCAAACTAATAAATTAAACATTTTCTTACTTGAAATAGATAGTCATTTATTTCTATGATAGATCATTTATTTACATCTTATAAAGGAGTCTTTCACTTTCAGCATCATTTAGCAATGATGCATAAGTCGCTATTGGGTCTGTGCATGACCGATCCTTACAGAATCCTGTCCGTTGATTTCGAATTTGGGCGCCTTCTGAATCTTTCATCCAGTTCAACAAAATTCTTTTAGAAAACCTTTTTTGGTACTAATAGTAATGTGATGCCACTGTAGCTGACTTCTCACATTTGTTCAGATCTCTTTTCTTTGGTATCTTGATGAGATATCCCTCCTTCTAGTCTATCTGCTCTCGTTCCTCCTCAGAAATCTTCATGAACATATCTACAGTTACTTATATGTCTGAGTTCTATGCTTCAGCTGGTATATTGTCAGGTTCTGCTGTTTCCCACTCTTGATTTGTTTGATGGTCGTCCTCATTTCTTCGATCGTTCGTGTAGTGACATCTAAAGGGAGGTCTGTGTGTGCTGTTCCAATGTTCAGTGGAGCTGGTCGATTCAGAAGTTTTTCAAAGTGGTCTACTATAATGTTTCGAATTATTTGAATTATAGCACTAACTAAGAGTCCAAGAAATAACGCAATTGAATTAAGAAGTCACAAGCACAAACGAATGTACTGTATTTGGAATTCGAAATTGTGCAACCAACATGTACAAAAGTATCATTAGTCAATTTTCCGTTCCGGAATTTGAGCGATTGGCTTTCCTTCTTTTTCTTTGATCGGTCTCTCTGGTGTACTATATTTCCCCACCAGTTTCTTCGTTGTGTTATATAGCTGTTTCATATTTCCTTCTGTTGAAACGTTTTCGACTGTCGTTGATAGGTCTTCCATGTATTTCTGCCTGTTGGTTTTATTGCTCCTCTTCACTTGCTTGTTTCCTTCTGTGTATTCAGCTTGTGCCTTGACTTCCTTTGTTCTTGTTCAGCTGTTGTTAATTGCTGTCTTTTTGTCCCTCCCTTCTTGAATGTTGTCCAAGGCTCTCAGGGAGAACTATTCCTTATGATGATGCCTATTGCGGCCTAGCACCTCCTGACATTTTGCTTCTTCGAACCTTTTCCAGTTGTCCTCCATCGTAGTTTCTTCTTTGAGTAGGCTTGGAACCTGTCTTTGAGAGTTGTCTTGAACTTTCTGAGTTTGTTAGTATCTCATATGAAGTCTGTATTGACCCTTAGTAGTGCTATTTGTCCTGTTGCCCAGTGCTACTTTAGTTTTAGTTTCATCTTGGCAACCACCAGGTGGTGATTTGAAGCTGTGTCAGCACCTCTCCTGATTGCTAGTATAGTATCTGTGGAGATTATTAAGTTTTTGATTGAGATCATGAACCGATTGATGTTAGACCACCACCTTTGGAAGCCTGGAAGCACTGGATGGCCGTTTCGTTCTATTTTGGGACTCTTCAGCAGTGCGCATCTACGATCCCGAATTGGTTGATGTTAGACACTATCACCATTGGGTGTCGGCTCAGTGGTCCAGTTGATTAAGCGTTCGCGCGCGAGATCGAGGAGTCCTGTAACAAGACGAAATGGCCGTCCAGTGCTTCCAGGTTTCCAAAGGTGGGGGTCTAACATCAACTGATTCATGATCTCAATCAAAAACCTCTCCTGGTTATTATGTTTTCCATTGACCTTCTGTAACACTAGAAATCCTTATAATTCGTTAATTAAATCATCTCAATTAGTTTTTTGTACACATCTACTAGTCTGGTTAATTTTTCGTATCATAAGCCATACTTCGCGTTACGATACAGTATTGAACTTAGCGAAATTCAATAAACAGTATTCGATGAGACTAATCATCAAAAGTTGTTCACCACTTTTAGAAACATCTGTTTACAAACGATGGGTTTCTTACATCTTCTTAACATTCGTAAATATAGGATCCTTTTCATGAAAAATTTATTAGAGGAAACATTCTTGTAAGTTGGAACCAATAGTCCTCAGTTATGATAGTCTGTAAGTACGTGAGAAATTTGTATGGATTAGATCAATCTATGTTTGTTAAAATTTATAGGTAAAGTACTCGACAACGTACATTTCTTCCATTTAACGAGGTATAATTGGATCTTTATTCATTGAATACACATTTATTTTATATCTCTTACGATGACTAAGAATATAATACCAGAATAGATATTAGAATTTATACGATTCAAGTTAGTGTATGAAATGATTTGGTTAGCTTCAAGCTTGATAATTTTCTAAAATGATAGATTATTCTTAACCGGTATGATGATCATATTTAGACGCTTTTTTTACCAGGTGATTTATTTATAGGTAACCTCAGTCAGTCAGTCAGCAACAACGTAGAAGTTCGTACGTACGTACATCAATTCAAGTTGCCATACCACATTAGCACAGAGATACAATTGTCGATTCAAATACCATAGTGGTATAGGTAGTAAACTTATAAGCAGTAATATGAAAGATTAGGGTTTGAAGATGTTATTCAACGAGTATAATCCAGTGAAATAAATTTGGAAAGTGAAAAAAAGGGATATGAAGAATTCAGAAGATTAGAATTTGGGAGAACACAAAGAGTAGTGGATCCACCTATGCACCATTGCAAACCTGCAGATCTAAGTGTATCCATTACTTTTTCTTTTTTTAATATTTCTGTGTTCAATGTTACGTAATGTTTTTTTATTTCTTACTATTTCAGTTCTTCAAGTGTTCATAATAGACGTCCTTCAGATTATCAAAGAAATCATAATTCAGAACATTCAATTGATTCTCCATTGGCTGAAAATATTCAAACTTATAATTTAGCTTCAACATTATTCAATGTAAATAATTTTGATTCACAAGACTATACTGCTTCATCAGCTACCACCTCTATTACGAATCACAGATCAACAATGATGAATAATTTTCAAAGTATGATTGATATTGATACTACTCCTTTGTCTGGTGAACGTATGGGTGGTATGACAGCATTTAATTCTTTAAGTGATCTGGAAGAGTAAGTTGTGTTAGTTATACGATAAGACGTACTTCTTTTGTATGCATAGTTCTGGTTTAAGCTCCTGGACGGTAAGAGCTTCGGCTGTTTTTAAGAACACCTAATCGACTAAAACCATTCTACAGATCTACAATTTGGGTTTAAGGGTGTTTATATGATTCGTTCAAATCTACCTAAATTTCTTCGTTTCCGACTCTTAAAGCCGGAGCTCTTACCATCCAGGAGCTTAAACCAGAACTATGTTTAGTTATACGTTGATAGATTTGTTTGTTTGTTTTTTTCTATCTGTGATCAATAATTCGCTTGATTTATTTTTAAAGTATATATTTAATACTAACTCAGAATGATTTAGAAACAACACATCTGAGTGATAATACTACCACAACATTCTGTTAGTTAGTTTATGATAGTGAATTGGAAACTAAACGTAGAGTTATTTCCGATTCATTAGTACTGGATGATTTTTATCGATCAAATTGCATTGTGGCAACTAATCTGTCTAACGTTGTATTCTATGGATTAGATTGAGATTGTTGGAAGTGATCAGTAGGATGCTTCGGACATACATTTCGCTTGAGTTTAGACTGATCGATAAGACCTATTTGCAATCTTTAAAAAATTTGATGCTGTCTGCAGGATAAAAGCCTAATGTATCCTTTTCTAAATGTTAAGATATCCTTTCTGTCAATGATAAACCAAGAAATTTTCAAGATTCATCTAGAAGATTTCTCCTTTTAGTGCACATCTTTGTACTATTTGTTGAACATGTAGTCGTTGATGTTTCGTCGCCTAAATGTAAATATGAGTTTTAAATTCACTAATTTGTATCAATATTAGTGCTTACACCAACTAAAAGATAAGTGAAATTCGCGGCAATGCGCTCTGTATTGCTCTATCCTGTAAACGATGGTCTATAAAACCAGACGATAATAACATAATTCAGTGTTTCTATCAGAGATGTTTTAAAAGTTGTGGGGTAGTCCTAAAATATTCTTCTTCAAAGTCTCCAGAGACTGTCAATCAGTAGAAACCGTTTTATCCGATCATTGGCTAGAGATGTTAGATCAAATTCTTCAAAATCTATTGAAATAGTTCGAACGTATTCACTCTTTATCTTCCTCACGATCTTAAATTTCAGTTTTTCTTCATTCATACCTTTGCTGTCTTTCTTCTAGAACCTTAAGCTTGTTAGTTAGTTTTTCTTTTTGCCATCAACACTTTATCGTTATGATTCGTTTGATGTTCATTCCAGCCTTTTTTATCTCCTTATGCTCTTTATTGTTAGACAACTTGTATTCATGCATTTTTTCGTCAAAATCTACGTTGATTATGATTGACTGACGCGTAGTAACATTGTATGACTAAATCAGTCAGTCAGTCAGCTACAACGTAGGACCAGGTATATATATGCATCGGTCCAAGTTGCCATACCTCATTAACACAACAAGATGAACACCCGATTCATAAAAGTAGTTAATTCAGAGGTGGTAATATATAAAAGAAAGATTGTATATAAGGATGTAGTACAGGAAGAAAGAATTAGTTGGTAGAAAGAAAGATATGAAGCGATTTTAATCTCTTAGTTTAAGGGAAGACAAAGAGTGTATACACCGACGCTATTCTCGTCGATTCTAAGCCATGTCACCAAGAGTCTCCCACCATTTGTTAAGATAGTCACATGGACCACAATCAAGTAGTCTGTATCTACCAACATGGCTCAGGCTAGAAGTTATTGTCTTCAAGCACTGATGCCATGTTTTGATTTGTCCGCCCCTAACTTTCTTCCAACCATCCCCAACACCGGTTAGCATTGCACGTCGTGGTAATCGTTGTTCAGGCATAACACGTGGTCCGACTATCTCAGTCGATGAAGATGCACAACCTCATCAACTGATTTACCATCATTCCCTAATACCCTGCGTCTAACCTCACTTATTACTGACTCGATGGTCCCAGAAGATGCGAGCAATATTTCTAAGGCATCTGTGGTCAAATACTAGTGGCTTGCGAATATATTCAACTCTTAATGGCCATACTTCGCAGCCGTAAATTAAAACAGAACGAACTGCTGCGCAGTATACTCGTCTTTTGATAGACGGATGACTAAATAATATTATTTTATAATCAATACTGTTTAAGTATTAAGTAATAAATGTTTGTGTATACTGAAATGAGATTTTCAATTAGATGTTGACATGGGATCATGTTTTATACATAATACAGATCATTATTGTGATTATTTATTCACTTTATTTACACTTTTACATTTTTCTGTAGATCATTCGACGAATTAATCAGATTATTCAATTCAGCTTGTAAAGAAGCTAAAAGTATTCATACTTCATTGTCTGAACCAATATTTGATTATTCTCGTCAATTCACTTCTGATATTGTTCATCAAAAATCACAGAATAATCATAATCATTATAATATTTCAAATAATGAAACAAAACTGATCAGTTTTCAAGATCCACCTTATCATACTGTAAGTACTTTTATTTTGTAATCTATCTCAGATTTGAATTGAATTAGATTTCACTATCAGTATTAAGCTCCCAAACGCCTTGATATGGCCGATAGTGAGGAGAGTTCGCTATCCCTCACGAAATGCTCTCACATGGTCACGCGTATATAGCCTCTGCCAGGGAAGTCATACTTACTGCATTATCTCGACATTACTGTTGTTTACAAAATTGAGAGGAAGAAAAGAGAATGTCCGGTGTTTTAACCGAGTTGGTGGACATGGAGAGTTCACGTAGAGGAGTTGGAAAACCCTTATTCCAAACCACTGGTGCACATGGGCTTCGGCATCCTGAAGGAACAAATGGCGTATGAATCAATTATTGATCACTGGGTACCATGAGACTGTATCTCTTTACGTTGATCCACTGCCTTGTGGATTAAACCTTTAGGTCGAAGACTCCGGGTGTGGCCCCCTAAGAAAACCACCTGCTTCGGTTTGGGCACCGGGGTAGTATCACAGCCCTCACACATATCAAGTGAGATTTGTGTGGCGCATATGTATTTGGTGCCTCCTTGTACCAATATCTATGTGTTAAAATAAAAATAAATAAATAAATTACACTTTACGGATAATAATCAACGCATTATATTTTCTATTGTTAAAATTGTAAACTCATTGAAATTGGATATTCAATCAGTGGTTTAAAGTTTTTGAGTTTTCTTCGCTGATGGAAATATAAATATACATTGTTGAAGGATTCTATACTAGGACGAAATAACTATTCATTACTTCTTGATCATTACCGACTGTGTAAACAATATCAGTCTCATGATGTGGAACTTTATATAAAACAATCTCCACAATACTCTATAGTAAAAAGTCTCATTGTTTAACTCTGAGTTTGAATGTCGTCTACATGTTTGATTTTTTCTTAGTACTGTAAATTGGTACATGGGAAGAACTTTCGATCCACCTACTGTTACATATAAATGGATTAATTTAGCTTGATAACATAAATAGTGTATGTATTACTTGTGTCAATGGTTTTCTAAACAATGGTGTCTTCTGATCATATACACATATCGAAAGTTTAATATTCAGATTTGCCTTCTCCGTAAGAATGTGTTTATTGTAAAGCATATTTAGAAGGCGACAGATTTTCATTCCTGAACTTGTTTTCAGAAATCCATTTGATACAATAAGGAGATAGTTGTATTTTAATGTAATGAGGTTAAAAGTAATAGGGGATAGTTTTTACAGTTTAGTTCAATGTTGATTGGGACATATCAGGCTAATGTGACAACAATCATGGTGAAATCATCGTTTTCTTAGTGATACATAATAGAAGTTCAATGGTGAACCCGAATTGTAGAGTCAGTATGTTCTGTCCAGGTATGAAATATTCTGGTACTTCTTTAAATCTCTGATGAAGCACTCGTTCTCAAGAGATTTTAAATGTCTGGTTCATGGTCGCACTTAATGTTGAAGTAAAGATAGAAGGAAATAACCTTCTTAGTTAACTATCTGGTAGTGTTCTGTATCGTTTAATGAGTGAGGTGTACGTTGCTCTACTCCTCTTTTGTCTTAAGACACTTAGAACTGATTCCCTGAAAGGTTCATCTGGAACGTCGAGAACAAACAAATTTTCTATCACGTGTAATGAATTGTTCAGATATACTTCTATCCAATCAGCGCTCTATATAATTCTTATTAAAATTTAGAAACCAATTAATTACTATTTTCCTTGAACTGGTGTAGTAAGTACCAAGTTTATTATGAATTTCAGTATTCTTTTTTGGGATCTACTTGAACTTCAAGGTTACCAGTAGTTCTATTCATATCTTTTCACGGCGCGACTATAATTTATGGACGAACCAATCAAATATAAGATAATAGGTTTTCGATTTTAGCGAAAAATTCACTCAACCATTTGGCTAAATAGAGTCTTGGCATTATAGGTGATATCAGTTCGTGATGAAAACCTGAAATCTAATTCCTAAACTTATTCGTCAACTCTAAATCATAACTCTAGTTCCTCACACAGGTTCATAACCCTCATTTGGTCTTAATTGTTAGGTGAACATTCAAGGTCACTTTAGCGTCTTTCAAGAATCGTTCATAAATTATAGTCTCACCCTTTTCACTTTTAAACATACACTAAACATAAAGCGCTTTTTCATATTTCCTCCTGATTTCTTTTAAAGTTCAAGTGTCGAATATTGTAGACGTTTGTAGTTCAAATAAATAATTAATATTTTAAGCTCTTTCTTTTTACCAAATGTATCGCTTCTTCTTCTTCTTCTTCTTCTTCTTCAATCATCAGAGTTTCTATACACTAAATATTTAATGATCGTGTTTGGCTCGAATTCTAGATTGATTCTAAGACCTTTATCCTTTCGTGAATTCATTAAGATACTATCCTTGTGCTTTATATCAGGTAATATGTAAAGTGATTTCACTTTGCTAACAACTATGTATTATATATATATATATATATATATATATATATATATATATATATATATATGCTATGTTTCTCTGTGGGTTTCGTAATCGATTGGTGGGTATCAGTAAGAGTGAGTGATTAGCCCGAACTCCACCACCCGAGTTACCGCTCACGTTAGTTCATGAGTCATTCGTCTCACTATCCAGGAGACACGACGCGGACGTGTGAGTCAGATTTTTGCCTCCCATTATATATATATATATATATATATATATATATATATATATATATCTTGTTTACTATACTTACATGTAATATAAATCATTCATATGTTATGTAATGTCGTTGCGTTTTCTTCTTCTGCAAACATTCTGAATAATTTATCATAATTTCATTTTAACAGTACTTCAATAGATTTAACGAGGTAATTTATGCTTGATAATTTAATACTACTGCTACTGTTATTGCTGCTACTACTACTACCTTAACTGTTACATTTAACAATACAATTTTTTCTTTCATATTGTTGTGTTAATAAGTTCATATTTGTACACATGTGTGCACACTAATGTTATCTGCTTTATTTCTCGGTCATATTTCATTCATCTTATATTTTGTGATGATTTCGTATGTTGATCAACTCAAATTATAACCACCAGTTTATTAATCACTTGAAGATGTTCTTGAAGTTCTATTGGAAAGTTGTAACTGATGAAGTTCAGACATGTGAGGAGTGAAACAGTTGTTACCAATAACTTTGGATGTCGTCGAACTATTTCACAAATTGATTAAATTTCGAATTCTATCGTTGAATGCCAGCCAATTGGTTTTAATGGTCAAGTGTTCACCGATGTACCTGAAGATTCTAATTTCGATACCTGGTGACATCCGTTATGGTTAATTTTAGGGACTCCTATTATAAAATGAAGCAGCTATTTCTTACTTTCTAGTTTATAGTGGTATCTGAACTAAAAACAATCTGTGACGAATACAACTTATAAATAGAAGTTAGCTTTGGATGAATCTTCGAAACCCAAGGCGCATCGAAAAGCGGCTTTTTAATCCTTAACAGTCCACATGACACCATTGATTCAATTGACTATCTTCAGGTCCCACGATGAATAAACTATCTGTAAATCGATCGAATGGGAATACTGTTGTTCACATTTCTTATATACGTACAATTTATGTACTACCACAATCCTGTGTTATCGATGGATAAGTTCCTTACTACCAAGTGATTGAACTTCACTGGATATAACTTTTCATCAGAAATTCACATTGAAGAACATCATTAATGGCTTTGTGGTAATTAATACATCATGATCAGGATTTTCCTGACACAACTGCTAAAGTGTTTTATAAACGTTTACTTCGAATTCCTGACGTTTAATTAGTGGAAGCTTTTACAATTTGTGAGATTTTTCGAAACCTTTGATTTTCCTTGTTATCTAATATTTTTTTATGCTCGTTGTTTTGACACATGTGTCTCTAACTCCATCCCACCGTACCTTTGGACGTTATTGTTGAATCATTAACCCCTCATTAAATTTGACGCATAGCTGAATATGCAAATGAGTACTCGGTCAATAGATTGCATTCTGATCAGATTGTTTCTTTTAGTCCAATTTCAGTCATATCTGGTCTATTAAATACTACACTGTCTAGTGCAGAAAAATGATATCTATGCAAATGCGAATCACTAAAATAACAGCTAAATAACATCGCTTATCATAGTAGGTATACGTCACCGAATAATTGTATTCATTCATGTGTAGAACTTTCCAGCTCTATGAACCCAGTACTTAATGTGTACATAACATAGACTATTGGGCTAAAATTCGATTATCCGAACATCGTAAAATGATATACAATTGAATTATCAGAAGGGGTTTCGTGGAGATTTTTTTAGAAATTTCACTAATTGAAATCTTGTGGTGGTTCGGGGTTCGAATCTCGCGGGGTGCGGGGTCGTGAATGTGCACTGCCAACCATTTGTTACGATAGTCACGCGGACCCCAACCAAGTAGTCTGTATCTACCAACATTGCTAAGACCAGATTTTAATGTGTTCAAGCACTAATGCCATGTTTGGGTATGGCCGCCCCTGACGGTAATATCAAAGTAACTAAGACTGTTATGTTGAAAGTAATCGTGTAATCTGTTCGCAGATTTCTGGTTTTATAATATATATGATCAGTGCTTGCATAATACATAAGAGATTTATGTGTGTACCTTTTTAGTAAATTCACTTTGACCATAGAAAATAACCACTAATAATGGGTCGAATAGTATGTAATTATCATGAATATTATGTTATAGAATTGTTGATTTCAAATATGTTCTTTGCTCTTCATTATGATCCATCTCCTGAGGAGGCGCTTGCTTATTATGACCATAATACTCAGTTTCATTAGTTTTATATCACTACAATTAGTCAATAACAAAATATTTTCTTAAAATAAAAAACAGTGTTTTACTAAAATAAAAACAATATTTAATGAGACTATAATTTGTGGACGACCCTATAAGCGACGCTTAAAAGACCTTTGAAGTGTCTACCTATATACAGCGGCTAAATGACAGTTAGAAACCAGTGTGAGGTATTCGAATCAACTGATTCACAGTTGATAGTTAAAGGTTAGGAATTAGATCTATAATGCCAAAATGATATTTAGCTAAATAAATGAATGAATGAATTTCGCGCCAAAATTCAAGATCTGTCATCCTAAATCTGATTGGTTCGTCCATAAATTATAATCTCGCCCAATATTTCTCTGACTCTAAGTGTGTGTGTATCTATGTACGTCCGGATGGGTTATTTTTTAAATAACTTCAAAGTATCTGAAATGATTTAACACTAATTTAAGAAATTGTTGTTTGTTTCTAACACTTTACAAATGTACTACATTTTAGCACACCTATGCTATAGCCAATTTTAGAAGTCGTTTAGTGCTGTTAATATTATTACGTTATCTAATTTTTCTTTTTGACCCCGTGTTCTCATTTTGTGTGTGTGCGTGTGCGTGTTGGAGCACGTTTCATATCTCACCATCCTTTTTATGATTACTATCTTAAGCTATAAACGGGATTATTGTTCATACGTTAGATATTATTCCTCTATGTTATTGAAATGATCAGTTTAAGGGTTGTGGAGATTGTCAAGTTTTTGATTGACATCATGAACCGATTGATGTTAGACCACCATTGAAAACTTGAAGCACTGGATGGCCGTTTCGTTCTATTGTGGGGCTCCTCAGCAGTGCGCATCCGATTTGTTTCATTAGAGATTAGATATGTAATATTGGCCTTTGAATCAAGTTATCTCTGTATACTTGTTACTTATTGATCATATTTATAAAGCCAGACTTGATATTTCAGTATTTTATGAGGTTAGTTCCTTTTTTTGTGTGTGCAAGAATTAGAGCAAATGCAATGCAACAAACTCAAATTTCTTTCTACACTGCTAATCCATTTGGATTTCCCCGCGTGGGTTCGAATCCCATCCTTTTCGCCCGTTGTTATATCTAGAAGGTTGTTATTGATATACAGCATATGACGTGGGCACTAGAACACCAGAACCCTTCCAAGTAGCAATGAGAAGACAGAAGACTAACGAAAGGAATATTATTCCTAGACAGTGTCAATTATAGTACAAAATTGTCAAGTATTTATACTTTTTAGTAAGAACGAAGTCATCATTAAAGTCCTCCAATCCGCATACTGGAGGTTATTAGTATTGTGCAATCTGGAAGCTACACGTAGGAATCCTAGAACATTCTTCCAAAACGTGATTGGATGGAATATCTTCGGCTCCTGAGCCTCCTACAACTTCCTTTTGTTCACCCGTGGTCCGTCGTCACATTTTCATTCTGCCTATTTCAATTGATAGTAATCTTTTTTTATAATTTTTTTTGCTTCAGACTGATCCTCAAAGAGAACCAATTCATATATTAAATATTGCTCTACGTCAATCTACATATAGATGCATACAACCTACTCTCATATTATCATCATCGAATGATGATACATCAATGTCGTCAAAATCAAGACCTTCTGGATTCACTAAAAACTCATTGCTACTACCTGATTCAGTAATTAATGAAACAAGTGATGTGACACATTTAGAAGAATTCTGTTCTCGTCATGTTGATCAATTACGAGCATCTGGTATTCGAAGAATTACTTTCTTAGTTGTTAAGACAGTGAGTTGGTGTTTTGTTGCTTCTCTATTGTTTTTTTATCATTGTTTAGTTATGCTATGTCAATGGAATCATCTATTCATTTGATAGCTCTTACCATACAAGATTAATAAATGAATGCTTATCTACAAAGCCTTTCCAAGTTATGTTAACCATTTCTAAGATTATAATGATAGTCAGTAAATTATTGTTTCATAAGTTAAGTGGTTGGTCCACGTGACTATCGTAACCAATGGTTGGAGACTGTGTGTGACATGTCTCAGAATCGATCAGAATGGCGTAGGTTTATACACTCGCTGTTTTCCTTTGAACCACCAAATTAAAATCACTTCATATCTTTCTTTCTACGAATTAATTCTTTCTTCTTGTATTATGTCCTTATATACAATCTTTCTTTTAAATATCACTACCACTATTGAATTGACTACTTCTATGTATTCGATGTTCATCTTGTTGTGCTAATGCGGCATGGCAACTTGAACCGATGCCCATGTGTGCCTGGTCCTACGTTGTTACTGACTGACTGGAAACTGTGATTATTGTTTCAATTCTAAAATATCATAATCAATGTTTTCATAACACCAGTCTAATTCATCTCATATCTTTGTATCAGAAGGGGTTTTGTGGAGATTGTAGTAATTTCAACAGTTGAGTTCATGAGTCAATTGAAGCTAGACCACCATGGAAAACCTGGAAACAGTGGATGGGCGTTTCGTCCTATTGTGGGATTAGTTGAAGTTAGATATTAACACCGTTGGATGCCGGCTCAGTGCTCTAGATGGTTAAGCGCCTGGCGCGAGACTGATAGATCCTAAGTTGAAATCCCGCGAGGCGGGGTCGTGGATGCGCACTTCTGAGGAGTCCCACAATAGGACGAAACGGCAATCCAGTGATTCCAGGTTTTCCATGGTAGTCTAGCTTCAATTGACTCATGATTTCAACTGTTGAAATCATTAATATTTATTCATTTATTTATTATGTTTTTTTAAATTTCAGCGTGAATTCCCACGGTTGTACACTTTTCGTGCGCGTGATAATTATCGAGAAGATCGTGTTTATCGACATTTAGAACCAGCTTTAGCTTTTCAATTAGAATTAAATCGAATGAAAAATTATAATCTTGAACATTTACCAACATTAAATCGTCGAATGCATTTGTATTTAGGTTGTAGTAAGGTAATTCTTCTATATATATATAAAGGCTTTTCTCATTAGTAATTGTAACTTCTCATTTAGTACTTTTATTATTGTAATGTGCATTAAAACAATCCTGCAGTCGACAAGTTTTACCAACTAGATGCTGTCATCTTAATATTTATTGAATCAAATGATATGGCCGTAATGTACAACTTTAATTGTATGATACTGAAAAATTTCCACCTATTCAGTTTTAAACACTCCTGACACTACACTTAAACCCACAAATGCCCTGGTACGGTCGAGAGTGGGGAGAGTTAACACTCCCTTTACAAATGCTCTCATGTGGCCACTTGCATACAACCACTGCCAGGGAAGTCCTACTTATTGCGTTCTTGCGGCGTGGGTGTTGTTTACGAATTCGAGAGGACGAAAAGAAAATTTCCGACGTTTTAACGGGGTTGGTGGATATGGAGGATCCATCTAGGGGAGTTGGAGAACCTTGTTTCTAAACCAATGGTGTACATGGGCTCCAGTATCCTGAAGGACCATATGGCGTTTGAACCTATTGTTGGTCACCGACTACCATGTGACTGTATCGCTTGACGTTTCTCCACTGCCTTGTCGATTAGACATTTAGGTTGAAGTCTCCGGGTTTGGCCCCCCTAAGAAAAACAGCTGTTTCTGTTTGGGCATCCAGGTAGTATCCCAGCCCTCACACAAATGGAATGATTTATGTGGCGCATATCTTTTTCATGCCTCCTTGTACCCAATGTTTATGTGTTTAAATAAATAAATTAATTAAACAACTACATCACCTTGTTAACATTGAAATGAAGAAAAAGCAACAGAATTCATAACACAATGTGAATTCATCCTATTTTGTGACTTCTCGTCAGAGTTTCATTTAATTATAACTTACAATCAGTAAAATAATTAAGAAACGATAGTTTAACTAAAGAAAAATAGAGTAGAAACCTTCTCATTAGTAAACAATGCTGTTGTTAAATGCTTTTTGTGATGACTTAAAGATCCTGTCTAATATCACGTGATAAAAACATCAATCGGAATCCGCTCAACAGTTATAACCTTGAATGAATGTTAAGCCCTTATCGCTCCTCGAATCAGTTTTTTTATCTCCGTACCTTGGTCATGGAATCCAGAACACTGTAATCAGCCTTCACCAAGCGAATATTATACTTCAAGCATACTTAGATTATATACAAGCATATCATGCCGAATCAAATCAGCCAAAAGTGGCTATGAGTAGAGGAGACTGCATAATAAACAGGCAACAGATTAATAATATTAAATCATACAGCAGTAGTTAATCCTGTCAGATACTATTTCTTTATTCGTCGTCAAATACAATAGTTTTATCCGCTATATAGATCGATGCTCACTAGTTTATTTGAATTTAACTTTCACTATACCCACTTATTATGTGATCAACTAATACTTATTATAATTTCCTGTAATGTTTCTAAAACCCATCAACCTGATTAACTAAATCGTGTCAAACATTTATCTTTAACTATATTACCCTTCTGTTTTATTTGATACTGTTTTCTGTTAATGATAAGCCTTCAAATAAGGCGATAAATTCTTTGTTTTTTCTCAAATCATATTCTTTATTTAAATTGACTTTCCGGGGCTGCATACATTTTACATTGGTTCAATAATTGTAATAACAAAATTACGTTTTTTTGTTGATGATAGACTATATTGAGTACTTTCTGAAGATCCTGATAAAATGCAGAGTCTTTTGATAGCACTGAACAACAATGCCAGAATGTTTGCGAAGCACTTCTCCCTCTCTGAATGCAAGCTGTTGCTTCAGGACTGGTTTGCGTCAACACGTGAACTAAGGATAGGGAGTGAAGTAGTTGAACGCCTTGACGAATTCACTTATCTTGGAAGTCTGATCAGCGTTAATGAATTGGTGTTTGACGAAATCTCAGCAAAGATTCGAAAAGCTCATTTGGCTTTTGCCAACATACGTCACCTATGGCGAAGGCGAAATTTCCGTCTATTAATCAAGGGACGAGTATACTGCGCGGCAGTCCGTTCTCTATATGCAATCTTTCTCTTATATATGACCACCTTTTACCTAACCACTGTTATGAATCTGGTGTTCATCTTGTTGTGTTGATGCGGTATGGCAACCTGGACCGATGCACATATGTGCCTGGTCCTACGTTGTAGCTGACTGACTGACTGAGTCCGTTCTGTTCTACTTTACGGCTGCGAAACATGGCCATCAAGAGTAGAAGATACTCGTAAGGTACTAGTATTTGACCACAGATGCCTTAGAAATATTGCTGGCGTATGCTTGGATCACCGAGTAAGTAATAGTGAGGGTATATGCAGCGTATTAGGGAATGATGGTAAATCAGTTGATGAGGTTGTGAATCTTCATCGACTGAGATGGGTAGACCACGTGTTGCGTACGCCTGAACACTGTTTACCACGACGCGCAATGCTGATAAGTGTTAGGGCTGGTTGGAAGAAAGTTAGGGGCGGACAAACCAAAACGTGGCATCAGTGCTTGAACACACTAACATCTGGTCTTAACCATGTTGGTAGATACAGACTACTTGGTTGGGGTCCGTGTGACTATCGTAACCAATGGTTGGAGACTCTTGGTGACATGGCTCAGAATCGATCAGAATGGCGTCAGTTTATACACTCTCTGTCTTCCCTTAAACTAAGAGATTAAAATCGCTTTATATTTTTCTACGAATTAATTCTTTCTTGTTGTACTATGTTCTTATATGCAATCTTTATTTCATATATTGCCACCAGTGAATTGACTAATTGTATGAATTTGGTGTTCATCTTGTTGTGCTAATGAGATATGAAAACATGGACTGATGCCCATCTGTGCCTGGTCCTACGTTGTAGCTGACAGACTGACTGACTGTCGAGTACTTTCAATCGAGATATCATCAAAAACAAAACACTAATTTTTAATTATTTATCTTTTCTTTGAATTTATGTCATAGATAAATGGAAGAAAAGATGTAGTAGATTATCGTTTCTTTGTACGTTGTATCATTCGTCATGCTGATTTAGTTTCACGTGAAGCTTCATTTGAATATCTTCAATCAGAAGCTGAACAAATTCTTTTAGAAGCAATGGATGCTTTAGATTTAGCCTCAGGACATCCTGATGCTAGTCGAACAATGGGAAATCATATATTTCTAAATTTTGTTCCTGTATTACTCTTAGAAGATATTAATAGATTAAAGTCAACAATTAGAAAAGTTGTAATGCGTTATGCTCGACGTTTTCTACGTTTACGTGTATCTCAAGTAGGTAAATTTATGATTAATACAGTATTACTAATATTTACTGTTTATTTATGTAAAATAATTTATTGGAACCATTAACTGGTGATTAGTTATCTTGATGTTACATCGTAGATTTTCCATGTTAGAGTTTCTTTATTCAGATGGGTTTTGTGGATATTATAGTAATTTCAATGGTTAAGATCATGAGTCAGTTGAAGCTAGACCATCATGGAAAACTTGGAAGCACTGGACGGCCGTTTCGTCATATTGCGGGACTCCCCAGCAGTTCGCATCCAAGACCTCGCCCCCTGCGAGATTCGAACCCAGGACCTACTGGTTTCGCGCGCGAGCACTTAACCACTGAGCCGACGGGCATCCAACGGTGTTATTCAGTCAATAGACATGATCTTCTTAAAATTTCATTCTAATAAGTTTTAGTTTTAGTTTTTGAAGTTCGTATGGAGTGTGACTTATAATGTCTCAGTAAACTTCACCATTGCTAATGTGCTCATCCATTGATACAACAGATAACAGTGGTTTACTGGACTCAGCTTCGATTTATACAGATATGACGGAGTGATTATCTTTGTATACATAGTTTGAAAATCTTGACTACTTAAAGGATCAAAATATGTCATCATCAATCGTTAATGAACAAGTATACATATATGTTTTCCTTACATAATCTAATCTATCAAGTCAAATGAGATATTATCATTCATTTGTGCATTGAAATTTTTGTGTGACTTAGAACAATTATGTCAACTATATCAAGTGTCTCAATCGAAATATTCACTGTTCGTATAACCATTTCATATTGCATCCAAATATGAGAAGAGTAATTAAGGTTCGTTCCTGTCACAAACAAGTATTCAAACTCTATGATGTCGGAATATTGGTTACATTCATCTGTCAAAACGTTCACTCTAATTAGGTAGCAATTAAATAACTATGTATTATTTGTTTTTTGAGACTTTGCACATTAATTCAATATATATTCTTCTGATTTAATTCTTATAGGCAGAATTAAAATTGCATATTCGATTTCATGCATCTGATCCGATAGTACCAATTCGTGTTATGCTTCGTGATGAACATGGTTATGATTTAGGATTAGATGTTTATCGTGAAATATTAGATCCAGTAACTGGTATTTGTATTCTACAATCGATAAGTCCACCTAATGGTAAATTAAATGGACATCCAGCTGTTACAGCTCATGAGAATAAAGATTTTTTTGAAGTTAAACGTTTTCAGGTAATGATCATTATTCATTTCGACTTCAGTTTTATATCCCATGTGGATTAATTTATATTTTTGATAATTGTAGAATATGACTATTGAATTTATGGGATATTATGCATAATTCACCTACATTTATTCATATATGTCTTCGTTTAAATAATGCGTGTGTGTGTGTAATTTTTTCTGTGTGATATTGTGACCTCTTCTCTGATCTACCTTGATGAATACTCACATAGAAGCGAACCGACAAAAAATGTAAAAGCTACCAAACGGTTAACTTTAGAAATCAACCTTATACGCAAATATGTAAACTAACCTAATCAGGTTCTGCACGATATGTGTTAGGAATGATCAGTGACGTTACTTGAAATTGTGAGTGTTTTAAATTAAGACCTCTAAAAAGTGTTAGATAATTTCAAGAAATATATATATATATATATTTCAATCAATCTGCAGTCGTCCAGAACGATTAGGAAAACTGTGGAACCAACCGTTTAATTTAGAGAGCACAACTCTAATTTAAGTTTCTATTGTTATATCTCAGTTATTTTAAAATGATAATCCAATCAGATCATTATGTTAAGGTAAAGGCTGCAACTGGGAATAATTTTTACAGTTGAAAGTATCATCTTAATCATGATTATAGCCCCCAAATGCCCTGGTACAGTCGAGGGTGGAAAGGGTTAGCTCTCTCTCCAAATGCTCTTACATGACCACATGCATACAACTACTGCCAGAGAAGTCCTACTAACTGCCTTCTCGCGGCATTACTGTTCCTTACGAAATTGAGAGGACGAAAAGCGAATGTCCGGTACTTTAACCTGGCTAGTAGATATGGAGAGTCCACCTAGGGGTGTTAAAAAACCTTGATTCCAAACCAATGGTATGCATGGGCTCCGGGATCCTTAGCGAATAAATGGCGTATGAACCAATTGTTGGTCACTGGCTACCATGGGACTGCATTTCCTGACGTTGATCCACTGCCTTGTGGATTATACCTTTAAGTCGAAGGCTCGGGTATGGTCCCCTAATAAAACCACCTGTGTCGGTTCGAGCACCCGGGCAGTATACCAGCTCTTATATAAATCGAATGGTTTATATGGTGCATATCTATTTAATAACTCCTTGTACCCAATGTTTATGTGTTTAAATAAATAAAGGAATTTAGTGAATTGTGGAATTACCATTTTGATATACAACTTAATTGATGCAAAGTAAATGTTTTTTTAATTTGTTTGTTTGTTTTTCTTAAAGAGTATTCACCATTTGTTAGGGACGTTAGATCCCCAGAACTCACTTGGGAAAGGACCTAATTTTGTAATTTTATTTAGAAAATTTGAATTTCTTTGTTTTCGCGCCAAAGGCGCTCTTGTCACCTTCATGTCGTATTTCCCACTGGGAAATATCTTATTGGTTCGTTGCGTCTTTTAGTATGCTATTTGGTAACTCTCCCCAAGGACGGTTTTTGTATTGTATATATACGTTTTGAATTGTGTTTATTGTTATTGCTCGTTTCTGGCTGTTTGCAGAATATACTTCCCCAGTCCAAGCTTGGACTTTTCCCTCTAGTTAGCGGGGCTGGGACGTATCAGTAGCTAGCTTACTGGTCTTTGATCACCGAGTCTTGTTTCTCGTTTTCTGATCAATTGAATTCGTGATAGCTTCGAACCTAGCACCATTGATAACGAACATTTGCTTTTTTTTAAATTTTTTTATGTTACAGGCCAGAAAATTTAACACCACTTATGTTTATGATTATCCTGCATTATTAGCTCAAGCTTTAACTGGTGTATGGCAAAGTTATTGTCCTTATAGAAATCAAAAACATCATAATCATATTATAAATGATTCATTAGATAAACCCATATCCGATTTAAATAATAATTCTTTATCAAAATTCCATAATTTAATACCTTTAAATATACCAGAGAATTTAATAATTACATGTACTGAATTATCATTAGATAAACATGGTAATTTACAACCAAATACAAATACTTTAGGTACAAATGAAGTAAGTGAACTCTATTTAATGAAGTTTTGTTTTATGATATTCATCATGTCTATATTCTTTATCATTGGTGGAAATCATGAGTCAAGTGACGCTAGACCACTATGGAAAACTTGTAAGCACTGGTCCTGGGTTCGAATCTCGCAGGGGACGAGGTCGTGGAGTCCTATTCTCCTGTATTAATGATTGTCAATCTATAAAAAATACATAGAGTCTATCACTTATGAACAACCTTTGAGTGACGCTAAACTGATCTTGAGAGATGAAGGTTATAAACCAGTGTAAGAAATTAGAATTATGATTTATAGTTGATGATTAAGGTTAGGAATTAGATTTAAGGGTTTTCATCACTAATTGACTTCATCTATAATGCCATGAATCTATTTAGTTGAATGGTTGAGTGAATTTCTCGCTAAAATCCCAAACTTATCATCTTATACTTGATTGTTTCGTTTTATGCGTCGTTGGTTCGGTCGATAATTCACTGTTCTTTAATTGGCGTTATCATTACGTTATACATTAATAGGACAGAAGGTCACAAATTATAACACGTTTGATCATATATTTTACTTGTTAACGTTTCTGTGACAAATTTTCAGTTTCGATAATGTAATTAGAAGACGAAGATTATCTGAACAATGTGATATATTAGCCGTAATACATTTCAAACAATCTAATCACACATATACTTGTTATGAACATTTATATATAAAAAAATAAAAGGTCAACTAGACTGGAAATGGGGTAAGAGGAGACAAAGATAATAATAAGAATAATAATGTGAACACAATTTGAAACCTAATCACTCTGGATAATAAGCCAATATTACATGGGTGAGAACAAACCGTTTTTGAATACACAGGGGGGGTTTGAATTTCCGTATGGTTAAGGCTTAAATAAACCTTTGACACTTGTACACCACAAAAACCGAGTTAAGATCAATCTTATGGCCTGTTTCAATTATGTTTAGTAATAGAGGATGATGGATGTTTATCTTCTACTCTTATAGGGTCACTTGATTCTATTTGTTTGTGCAACCACTTTGATGCATGTTCACACACCCTACTTTTGAGATCACGATTGCTCCTCTCTATGTATATGTAACTACACACACCATTAAATTGGTAAACACACGACCTTGCCCCCTGCGAGATTCGAACCCAGGACCGACTGGTTTCGCGCGCGAACACTTAACCACTAGACCATTGAGACGGTATCCAATGGTGTTAATGTCTAACTTCAACTAATCCACGGAATTGAGCGACACATCCAGCATTTTTATTAGCGAGTTACTATCTCACAACAGACCTGGTTGAACTCCACTGGTTGCTACTTCTCACTAGAACTCCAGGATATACCTCTTGAAGCCAGTCACTAGTGGACATATGTTGATTAATATCAGATGGATTTTGTAGATATTATAGTAATTTTAATGGTTATGATCATGAGTCGGTTGAAACTAGACCACCAGGGAAAACCCTGGAAGTACTGGACGACCGTTTTATTCCATTGTGGGACTCCTCAGCAGTGCGAATCCACGACCTCACCCCCTAGCTTCAATTAACTCATGATCTTAACCATTGAAATTACTAATCATACTTGTTAGTTGGCAAATATTATGTAATTACCTTTGGAATGTATCATTATTAATTTTGTAGGAAGTTAAGCTATAATTACATTTGGGGATCTAGTGATATTTATTATTGTTCAGTTTTTTTCGTGTTTTCTTTAAAAAGTATAATTAATTGTTTTCATTTTATTATAGATTGGAATGGTTGTCTGGTATATGGTATTACGTACACCAGAAACTCCATCTGGTCGTCCAATTATTGTTATTGCAAATGATGCAACAGTTAAAGCTGGATCATTTGGTCCTGCAGAAGATTTAACATTTCATCGCGCTAGTCAACTAGCTCGATATTTTGGTATTCCACGTATTTACTTAGCATCGAATACTGGTGCACGAATAAAAATTGCTGAAGATATTAAAAGTGTATTCAATATTGCTTGGATTGATGCTGAACATCCTGAAAAGGTTTGTTATTACATTAAGATCTCGATCATTCAATTCATAGTTGTTCTTATGGCCTACGTAAAAGTTTTCATTAACATATTTTATTGAGTGAAATGATTTTGTTCTTTTGTTTATGGTATAAAGCAGCGTTTACCATAGCTTCCTGTAAAGGAATATCTTAGTGTGTGTTTGTACTCAGATCGAAGTGTTGAATAATGTATTCTTACATGATGACTATTAATACAGTTACTTCGTATTACTCAAATGGATAGTGAATAACAAAGATAGTTGACTACCTGTACTTTACTTGTTGTTGACCTTCTTTTCAACCTTTTGTCGAACATCATTATATTATTACAAGTGAAATTATTTTCGTTAGCATCCCAGTAATTGAAATTAGAAACAGCTTCAACGTTTCACTCGGCCCTCTAATCTGAACCTTTTCAGGAAAATAATCACATCTACAATATAAATAAACTTTATAAAACAACTATATAGTAAACGATTGTTCAGTCATATTAGGGTATTGAATGTTAAACACGTTAATGTGAATGAATCACTCATTGTGAGATATGCTGAAGTTATGTTTACATAAGCTATATATGAGACTGTACTCAGATTTCATATGAAAAATGACATTAAATAGATATATAACTGTTTGCTACGTTCAGGGATAGTATTAGTTAATCTGATTGATAGAAACAAAGTAAATGTATCAAACCATGCACGCAATGAGAATAGATGAATATACGATTTTTTCAATAGTTGAGATCATGAGTCAATTGAAACTAGACCACCATGGAAAACCTCAAAGCACTAGATGGCCGTTTCATCCTATTGTCGGGCTACTCAGCAGCTTCGCAAGATTCGAACCCAGTGCTTATCAGTCTCGTGCGCGAACGCTTAACCTCTAGACTACTTAGCTGGCCGGCATCCAACGGTGTTAATGTCTCTAACTTCAACTAATCCACGAAATCGAACGACACATCCACCACTGTCTTCATGATCTCAACTATTGAAATTACTATAATATCCACAAAAACCCCTTCTGATATACACTTTTGTTGTTCTATTCAACAAACTATTTGTTGATGGCATATTCAAACTTATTAGTTGATTAAAACATATTTAGATTAAAAGTTCATATTCAATTATTTTATTATGTATTAAAACTATTGCCATCTTGATAACATTTTCCAATTGATTAACTGTGAACATCATCCCCGAGATGCAGGTACATCCAGCTGAAGTGTCCTAAATAGGACGAAACGTGCGTCTTGGATTTCATCTTTGCTTAAAATGTTTATTATTATTTATAAAAAATTTATACTTATAACCCTTTTTTTATCTCATTGCTTGTTATCAACACTTTCTTTTTAAAACAAAAAAGGGTTACAAATATTTATATTTAACACCAGATGATTATTATCGTTTTAAATATGATGAAGCTGTGAATTGTGAAAAAATTGAAGAAAATGGAGAGATACGTTATAAAATTATCGATATAATTGGTAAGTTATATAGAATGGATGTTTCTTTTTTATTTCTTCATTTAGGTATGTCCCTCAAAAATTCTTGACCCTGTTTACTAGTGATCACTTCACTTACTTACTTCCGCTTGTGACTCCAAATGGAGCATAGGCCACCGACCAGCATTCTCCAACACACTCTGTCCTCCGCCTTCTTTTCTAGTTCCATCCAATTCTTGTTCATTTCTCTCATGTTTGTCTCCATTTCCCAGCGTAATGTGTTCTTTGGTCTTCTTCTTCTTCTCTTCCTTTGGCCTTGAGCATTCCATGTGAGGGCTTGTCTTGTTACACAGTTGGATGCTTTCCTCAATGTGTGTCCTATCCACTTCCAACGCTTCTTCCTGATTTCTTCCTCCGCTGGAATCTGGTTTGTTCTCTCCTATCGTAGGTTGTTACTGATAGTGTCTGGCCAACGGATCCGAAGTATTTTGCGTAGACAACTGTTACTAAACACCTGTATATTCCGGATGATGGCTCTCGTAATTGTCCAAGTTTCCGTCCCGTACAGTAGAACTGTCTTCACATTTCTGTTGAAAATCCCGACTTTGGTGTTGGTTGACAGTTGTTTCGAGTTCCAGATGTTCTTCAATTGTAACTATGTTGCTCTTGATTCGCCGATCCGCGCCTTCACACCTGCATCAGATCCACCATGTTCATCAATGATGCTGCCCAGATATGTAAAGGTTTTAACATCTTCCAAATCTTCTCCGTCAATTGTGATTGGATTGGTGCATAGTGTGTTGTATCGTAGAATCTTGCTTCTCCCTTTGTGTATATTGAGGCCTATTGCTGCTGAGGCTGCTGCTACACTAGACGTCTTGTCTTACATTTGTTATTGCATGTGCGATAGAAGAACCAGATCATCTGCGAAGTCTAGATCGTTTAGCCTCATCCTAGATGTCCACTGTATGCTGTGCTTCCCCTCAGACGTTGACGTCTTCATGACCCACTAGATCACCAAGAAAAAGTTACTAGTGGTTAAGAAAACAATAATTATACATGAATGATTTGTGGTAGAAAATGAAAGAATTTACAATCAACATGTATATATTGTTTTTATGTTACTAGTAAAAACTTTTCGAAACTGATTATAAGTTCTATCTTGAATTTTCTAATAAAAAAAACTCGTTAAGAATGCTCGTCCATACAATACCGTGTCATCTTTGTTTGAGAACTTTTGTATGATCATAAATAACTTTATCAATGTTTTAGAGTAAATCGTTTTACAGTGTTGTTGCTTTGCTTCATTATTCAATCACCCTTGTAACCGTTATTAACTAAATTTCAAAAGCGGTGTTTGAAATCAATGAAAAGCCGCAAGTACATTTTATTAGCGGATAGCACAGATTATAAAGCTGTAAGACACACCAAGTGAACTTGAAGCAGAGATGCGAATATGTATATACGAGCTAATACATAGACAAATTTATAGTCAAATCACATAAGGGCGCAGAAAGGCAAAGCAAACGCTAAAACTAGAATTTGAGTACATATATACATGGGGACGAGAATGAATGATTTTGTAACAACTAAGATAATTAACATTTTAGTTAGAGTGTGTTATGTTATCTAGTGATCATAACGGTACAATGAAATACACGAATTGTTACTATTCTAATAACACTGTCTGTTAAGTAAGTTCATAAAAGGGTTTAGCCATAATCGAAATTGGTTGTAGAATAGTTGTGACATACGTTTCAAAGCTTCCGAAATGTTTGATTGGGATCTTATCATCCAATGGCATTATTAAATAATATGATTCGCTATATCGGTAGTTTGGGAAACAAGACGTTTTTAATAGGTTTGATACACAACAACATAAATTACGACGAAATATCACCTAGTCTTGTAATTCATCCAAGTTATTCATCAGCATTTTCTACAATAGTCCACATACGGGCGAGACTATAATTTATGGACGAACCAATCAGATTTACGATAACAGGTCTCGTATTTCGGCGCGAAATTCATCCACCTATCTAGCTAAATAGAATCCTGGTGTTATAGCTGGCGTCAGTTCGTTATGAAAACCCTAAATCTAATTCCTAACCCAAACGATCAACTATTAATCATAATCCTTATTAATCAAACTTTTTTATAACCCTCACTTAGCCCTAGTAAGTAGGTAGACACTCTCAAGGTCACTTAGCATCGCTCGAAGGTCGTCCATAAATTACAGTCTCGCCCACATACGGTTGTTTCTTCTTAACAATTAAATGTTTTACAAATAGTTCATGATGCCTTTCATTGTTGAATTATTTTTAATATAGTCGATAAATAATCAGTTGTTTTTACATATATGCTATGATTTTCAATTAGTTTTGCCATTCTCGATTGCCTCATCCTTGTTATGAAACTTCATTTCAAAGAGTTATCATACTTTTCTTGTATTTATAGGCCTTCTCATCCTCATGAATTGTTTTATGTACTTAGTTTCTGTCATATATTATTGATTGAAGCTATATCGATCTTCATCTTAAGTGCACCATTGACCTGAAATTCCTTACCGTTCTTAGAAGTCATCTAGAATTTCCGATATTTTCCCTAACAAATTCGTATACGTAGTTTTATCTACTGGAAGTAGACTTCAGTGTTATCCAGAAAAACACTGAAAGTCTCTTAGTTATACCATGAAGCTCAGTGAATGAAAAATCATCATTCAGTCGATCCCACATTTGCTAAATGATTTCTCGTAAAAATCAGTAATTATGTACGTGAATGTTGTTTTATCATAGTTTAAATACCATTTCATGGAATTTCACTTCAACTGCTGTCATTATAACGAAGATTTCAAGGATAACAATGATTTCATCGTTGTTTACCTCGTAACCTTATGATCTTTTCATAGAATCGTGTTAGAAAATCCATAGTGATCACATAGGTCATTCAGGTTACTTGATATTTCATAAGTTATCAAATCAAATCTTCCCCAGTGATCCCTTCGAATTTCTTTTTAATAAATAATTTTTTTCCTAATATGGATTTTGAGTACTTTGATGATGTAATTTTTCCTGTAGGATACATCATTTATAGTTGGTACTCTTTACTGTTTTGAATAGAACCTGGATTTTACTGATATGTTCATATCGTCATGTGTATTCTAGTGAATACGATAGCTGATTGTTTAGAGTATCTAAATTCCAATCATCAAATCTCAATATAAAACCCCCCTGTGAGTTATTTCACTTTCAGCAATCACTTATCAATAGATATCACACACATTATTTGTATAAGCATCAGTTCTACAAAAGTATCTGAAACATGTGAGTTATATTGTATAATTTAATACTGCACATAGGTGTTGGGTAACTTTATTGATTTATTTAATTCTATTACATTGTAGGCAAAGAATATGATATGTCCGCAGAGAATCTTCGTGGTTCAGCAATGATTGCTGGTGAAACATCTGCAGCGTACGATGATATATTCACTATTACAATAGTTACAAATCGTGCTATCGGCATTGGAGCTTATTTAACACGTCTTGGTCAACGGGTTATTCAAGTAGGTAGTTCTGTTTACAGATTTTGATTTGATTTTAATAAATGGTTTTTCAGTTGTGGGTGTATGTGTTTTTTAGATATTCTTCCGTTCTGATTTTATTGTTCCTTCTAAATTACAGGTGAATAATTCACATATTATATTAACTGGTGCAATGGCTCTTAATAAACTTCTCGGTCGTGAAGTATATTCTAGCAATAGTCAATTGGGTGGTGTACAAGTTAGTGATTAAATATATCATGTTATACATTTGTTCTATTCAATCCTTAACTGTATTTTCAGTTTCTAGCCAATAGTTAGTCAGTTTAAGGGAAGATAACAGAGTGCATACATCAACGCCATCATGATCGATTCCGAGCCATGTCACAAAGAGTCTCCAACCATTTGTTACGATAGTCACGCGGACCCCAACCAAGTAGTCTGTATTTACCAACATGGCTTAGACTGGAAGTTAGTGACTTTAATGACTGATGCCACGTTTTGGTTTGACCACCCCTAACTTTCTTCCAACTATCCCCAATAGTCAATAGAATCATTCATAAAAGTAGTCTACAATTTCTAACAAAACTTAAAACAAACAACCATAAAACTCAAGTGTTGTCTTTACTTTTTTTTTAATGAACGTTCTTATTTCATTGTATCAAATCATTTGTATTATGGACTACATGATGGAGGTATATGTGAATTGTATACGTTATCTCATTAGAGGTAGATTTAAGAATGTAACATGTACTCTAAGATGTAACTGGAGGATGACAGTTAAGGTTCTTGATAAAGAGAAACATAAAAGTATCTCTACTTGTTAGTAGGTTCTTATTAATCCAGTTTATTACATAGTTTGTATATTTAAATTATATTACTTCATATTATAAAGTTAGAAAACGTGAATTGTTTCTTTGAGGCAAATATTTACACAGTGGATGCGTATTACATCGTATGTAACAACTTATGAATTATAGTTATGATATCCAGAAATAAGTTTGCATATTACGGAAAAATCAAGTTCGGTTTAAGACCATTAAATATTTCGCTTTAGAAGTCGTATCTGATTGGTTTTTTAAGTCTTTGACTTCATGTTTGAAGAGGTACCTGAAAAGGAAATTGGATTAGAGGTGGTCTTAGTGATCTGAGAGCGTGACCGCAGTGCCCAAGGGACAACTGCTTGAGATCTGTCACACACAACCTTTTTATGAGTAATTTTTGTGTTAGTTCCGTACTTGTTGAGACCTTACCGCCGGAGACAAATATTCATGGGATAATGCGAGGTGTGCATTTTTAGGGTCGACCTTTTCTACCCCCGCAACCCTCTCTTGTGGGAAGGCAGCATCTCTGTCATGCTGGTTGTCTGAAGGAAACACCTTACTGCTGTCACACCTCTGTACAGTCAGCAGTACAACTTCGCCTTCGGACCTTGAGTTTGTTGCTTTTAGTGTTACCGTTCTTCAACCGACCTGTCTGACATAGTAGGACGTTGAGGAACGATTATTCCAGCCAATATAGCTCGGTTGCTTCATCAGTATAGGCAAACCCGACCACCACGTCAAGGTAGCAACCAATGGGATTATATCTCTTTTCGCCTGTTTTAATGATTGTTATGCTCTAATAGATGGATTGTTATGCATATTAACTTTTTAGTGCCCTTTCAGATCCTTTTCTTCCCCCCCCCACCACCACTTAATCATCTCATTTCTTTCTCTCCTTATTATTTTCGATTGCTTGTTTCCATTATTGTTCAACCAGTATTCTGTATTATAAACATTCATAACTAGACAATATTATTTTAAGTTAGTTAAGTGTTTGACTGCTAATGGAGTTAAGTTGTAGGTTCGAATCCTGTTTTACCTTCGTTCAGTATTATTGTATAAATAATGCAACTGAATACATAAACTTGTACATAGCAAAAAAACTACATGAGCGACGTAACACATAAATAGATTTACATAGATTGAAGATTCATGATCGAGATATTGATATATAAATTCGAAATTTTATTTTTAAATATCTAACGTACCACGGCATTCCCAACTTTGTGACCAAC